ATGAGGAAATTCGCCGAAGAACCGGAGTCACCGACATAGCTCTTCGGATCTGTAAGTTGAAGTGGCAGTGGGCAGGCCACATCCAGGGCTGTAGCTAGAGTTGAATTTGAGGTAGGGCAGCATTAATTACAGGTAGGGCGAAAGTAAACAATTAAATTAAATTAATCATAATTGATTTGCCCTCGAAGCATGAGCTCCTTCTTGTATCTTTTATTAACTGATATTTTTACTCTCAGCCCCGAGACTATTAAAGCTTCATCTGACGCAGAACCGGTGGGCTAGCCAGAACCCACGGGCTTGGGCCCTCCGCTCTGGGTAGGGCCACGCATGTGCTTATGTGTGCGTTTAAGTATGGTGTGTCATTTAAGGGCCATCGAGGTCGCGGTTCGGACCGAAACCCCGATGGCCGTCGACTGTACATTTAGCTAATCGGTGGCTGGGAGCGGTGAGAACCGCCCCGGAACGCGGGTGTACCTTGTGTACGCGTTGTGTTGGGCTCTCCATGCTCAGAGGCGGGGGCGAACTAGTGTGTTTGTTGTTGCATTAACTGTGGGTGTAGTGTTATCCGGCGGGACCCCCAGAGGTGGGTCCATCGTTTCTAAGTCCTCTTCGTCGCTCGGGTCGATGAGGACGTTTCGCGGGCGACGCTTGTTGACGTTCGCGTTTGTGTCGGGTTGGTAATTTGCTGCGCTTACCACCAGAGGGTTGGGATGATGTTCGGCTCTATCGAAGAACCGTTTGGTCAGGTCTTTAAAATATTCGCGAATCGTCGGGAGTCTGCAATCGCTGTGCATGTCGACGTTGTGTTGATACCACTGCGTACTGGTTGCGCGGCGGATGAACTTATTTTGTACTATTTGCAACTTGTACAAGCGAGTACAAGTGTGGGCGAAGGTCATGCATGCGTAGGACATAATAGATCGTACGCAGGTCTTATATAATAATAATTTGTGCCTTAAGGGCATTTTACTTTTAGCGTTAGTTAAATTGTGTAGCCGGCCGGAGAAGAACGCGGCTCTATTGCGAACGTTATTAATGTGCGTATTAAATGACATACGCGAGTCGAAAGTGACTCCTAAGTATTTGACCTTTTTCTCCCAGGGGAGCGGTTGGCCATAAAGGGATATTTGCCCTAACTAGCATGAGCTCCTAAATCAATCATCATGTATATCACTGACCTCTAGGTCAGTTCAATAGCTATTCGTAGACAAATAATTTCTGTGACAGAACATGAGCAATGGATATAAGCCCTATTAAATCCTTAATGATGAAGAATAAGCGAACAATATGGTTGAACTTCCAGCTTTGGATGTAGAATCTACGCAAGATTCGGGGGCGAAGCATCGATCTAGCTGTTTCATTTTTAGAAAATGTCCTTTTATCTCTGTTTTCAGGGAATGAAAAATATCATTCGGATATGACGGTAAATTTCGCCCCAAAAAAATTTTTTATAATAGCTCGATGGGTAATCGGGCGGCCCCAAACAGACGGCCGCGGTTCGTATCACGATCACACACTTATTTTTTTTCTATACCTGATCATTGCTTTTTTTTATTTATATTTCCAAAATACATTATTTACCAAAACAAAACGAGCAAAGCTCGGTCCTCCAGGTACTTTTTTTATACGAGTAAACAGAACAAAGAATTATTAGAATATGAAATGAATGTCACACACTGGTAATGAGTTGATTGATCGCACCCAAGCTATTTCTAAAAGAAAGAAAAAAAAACAGTTGTATAATATTTTAATTTTTTGAGAAAAAAATTACGAATAAGAGGATACCTGCGGAGTTTCTTTCGCCTGTTTCTTCTCCGTTAGAGGAACCTCATGATGAAACGGTGGTAGATTAAAAAATACTATCAATAGATGAAATGTATGTTTCCTAAGTCCATAAATAAATTATTTTGATTTTGACAAACTGTGGTATGTTCGGAAAAGTTGAGATACCTATCGCTACAATTTTTATTACAATAATGTATCTTAGTTTTTGAATGAATAAATGAATGAATACTTTATTGTCCACCACACAAAAGAGGATACACAAAATTAACAATAGACAAACAAATTAATGGAATTCAATTTGGCGGCCGTATCACCTCATAGCGATCTCTTCCAGGCAACCAATGGCGTAAAGGAACTTTACTACGTAGGTTGTGCAATAGTATAGTATATAATGCAGTAGTAGAGTTTAACAGCCTGTACGGTAAAAGATTTTTCAAAAAATTACGTTTTGTGGTTTGGCACCATTAAAATGAGCTTCCTCGAAGAAGGTAGGATCTTCCTCTAGAAGCCCTAAAAATTCAAATTTCTCCTTTAAATAAAGTGGAGTAGAAACATGAAATAGAACACAGTAGGTACAGCATAGAAAGAATATACAAATTCCGGCGAAGTAGGATGGGAAATCACTTGAGACGTGTACGAAATTGAAAAACGTGGTCATATTTACGCATTTTTATTTTGGTATTTTTAAGGTAGGGCATTGCCCTACAATGCATGAATGAAAGTCTTTTCTTGGAAGATGCATCAACTTTTATAATAAAATAGGTGACATCCACAAACAACTAAGTATAAACAATTTCAAACAATTTGTAAAAGCTACCTTAATGGCAAGGGCTTATTATAATATCCAAGAATACATAGAGGACAAGGATGTTTGGAAATGACTCTTGCTCTGCAAAGACCCCTGGCTGCTGCTGATTTTATAACCAAATAAGATAATTGCATTAAAAAAATATATATAACAAAAAGAACAAGACCGCAGAGTTTCTTGCCGGTTCTTCTCTGTGCAGGTCTAGTTTAGTGAACCGGTGGTAGATTTTTGTTGACGTTCAATAAGAGCCTAAGTTAGGCCTATATTGAATAAATATACTTTGACTTTGAATGCCCCCCCCCTAGCTACGGCCGTGGCCACATCGCTCGAAGAACTGATGGCCGATGGGGGGTAAAGGTTCTCGAGTGGCGACCACGAACCGGAAGACGTAGCGTTGGAAGGCCTCCCTCTAGGTGGACCGACGACATCATAAGAGTCGCGGGGAACCGGTGGATGCAAATGGCAAAGTGTCGTTCGTTGTGGCGTTCTAAGGGGGAGGCCTATGTTCAACAGTGGACGTCTTGCGGCTGATGATGATGATGAGGTATAACTAGTAATATTATATCCAATTGAAATTCATTTATTTAAATTCGGTAAAACATACTCTAGATTCCGGCAAATGAACTTTTAATAAATAAAAAAAGAAATACATCAGCTCTGCAACATTGTTGACAAATAAACTGACGTCACAAAGAGAACTTTTATAGGTCGCATATTTTTAGATTAGATCATTCCAGAAAATTATGCAACAAACGTTGTCAATTAATGTTGTCCTTGGTTGAATTTTTTTCATTGTCAATTTTGACGCCCATATACCTTATACTAGTCTATTACTACCTTATACTATAAGTTAATAAGTAATCAGAATGAAAATATCCTTTTATTAACTGATGTTAACGCGTCCCGACGCTATTAAAGCTTCATCGAACGCAGAACCGGTGGGCTAGCCAGACCCCACGGGTTTGAGGCCCTCCACAGTGTAGGGCCGCGCATGGGCTCATACATGAGTTAGCTAAGGAGTGTCGTCTACGGGCTATCGAGGTTCGGTGCGCACCGTGACCCCGATAGCCGCTGACTGCGCTTGGTTAGTCGGTGGCTGGAGGCGGCAGTGGCGGATTTGCCCTAAGGCCCAATAGGCCCGGGCCTAGGGTGGCCACGTATAACGGGCGGCTAATTGTTACAAAAAAATCACTGATAATAACAAGATATATGGCTCTAAGAAAGGCGCGTCTGGAATTTACATAGGCTGGCAAAGATTACAAATCCGCCACTGGGGGACGGTGAGAATTAAAATAAAAATCCGTCGACGAAATTGTGATTTTAAGATGGCGGCGACAACTCACATTGGCAACCACTGGTTGATAATTGAATTTTTATTGTGTGAAATCCTATCTCGAGCCCAGATGGCGTACCCATCTGTCGGATTATAGACTTAGGCGTGGCGTAACGAGCATAGCATATAATGCCATTAGTTTATCATAATAACTAGTCACCTTTTTGGAATATACGCTGTAAGTTGGTAGAAATCGTCACGTAAGTTTGATTTCAACTCTCAGCGACTCACGACTTTAATGCAAAAAATATATTTTTTAATTGTAATGTTTCAATCTTAAGTGCAGCGATTAGCAATATAAACATTTAAGTACTAATAGTTCATAATTAGTTTTATAATAAAACTTATAGTATTAACGTTAGTACATTTTGCATGGAAATTAATAAAATATTTTTTTTTTTACACTTTCAACATAATTATTATCAATTGACATTATAATTAAAACAACTTCACAGGTGGTTAATGAGAATTTTTATTGGAAAAAAAATAAAACACAATTCGCTATCCGTACATTTCTTACTAAGCTTACGATAAAAATACGTCTTATGACAATCATTAATAATTATTCAAACTATAAACAAAATTGGGCAAAATCACATATTGTTACAGCCTACGAATTTGTACAACTGACATTTGAGTCGGTGTTGCAAGGAATAAATGCTACGAAAATGGTCGGTTTTCTAAATTAGGATAATTTAAACATGAAAGTGCTAGAATTTCACGTTTTTAAAATAGTAGGTCTTTTAAAGTCGAGTGATTCCGCACTACTGTATATTATTTTTGTACGGTCATAAAATTGAGGCTTTTTGGGTAGTAGGATAATTCAAGTGCTACTAAATGGGTAGGTATTAAATTACTTAATTTGTAGTTTTTTTTTATTTTCTATGTATAGTATATAATTTGAATAGTGGAGAGTTGGGGTGGCGGTTTTGCCAATGGGCCGTTGCGTCAGCTTTAATTCAAATTCTAAGAAATTGATAGGTATTAAATGACTAAATTTATAGATTTCTATGTATGGTATATAATTTGAATAGTGGAGAGTTGGGGTGGCGGTTTCGGCGTTGCGTCCGCTTAGGCGACCTTCTGGAGGTACTCGTCGAAGAGGTACAGCGCAAGGGACAGGTCTTGGCCGTTGTTTGCGAGGATGAACTTCTTCAGGTCGGCGGTGTGGCCGGCGAGGTTCCTGATGGTCTCCGCGTGCTTCTCGACGAACTCCTCCTCCAGGTATTGGGCGATCTGTTCGAAGGGGAATGGCGTGCAATATTTTTTTACGAGAACATAATCTCAATCGGGCACTCCGCACGATACAGCTGAGGCTAGTGACGGCGAGCTATGGTTATGCAAAAGTATCCTAGGCAGCGTTTATTATAGAAGGCATATAGTTTTATTAAACAAATACAGGGCCTATCTCATCACTTGCATGTTCCTGGCTGATTTCGTTACTATAGTATTTCTTAAAAAAGAAATTTTATTTGTTCACAGACTATTGCCGGCACAGCCCGCTAATCCATACTAATATTATAAATGCGTTAGTAACTCTGTCTGTCTGTCTATCGCGCTTTCACGCCAAAACTACTGAACCGATTTAAATTAAATTTGGTATACAGACAGTCTAGAGCCTGAGAAAGGACATAGGCTTTTTAATTGGAAAAAAGTGTTGAAAAGGGGGATGAAAAGTTGTATGAAAGTGTTGTCAGTTTCAGAACAAAAAGCATAAAACTTATATTTTAGCCTGTTAATAAATGAACATGGCATTTAAAGTTTGTAAAAATAAGAGTCGCGGGCACAGCTAGTAGTCGAAATATGCGAGCTTATTTCTTTCAAAAGTGCTTGAAAATTGGCTGAGTTATGAGAGTTAACTACTTAAGAATCTATATGAATTTGACTGTCATGCGACTTTCAGTGGGTCGCGTGACAGGTCTAATTGAAATACTTGTCTAGGTAAAGTGTAAAAAAAATTTAGAATCATCGCTGCAATACGGCTAAATGAAAATTCATTCTTGGGCATAAGCCAAACAAGAAACCAAGAGTCGTTAAAAGAAATTTCATTTGAAGAAAATGGATAAAAAGAACATCTAACAAAGAGTTTCCAGTGTCAGTTACCCATTGTTAAAGATACGTACCTCAGGATTTGGTAAGATTCCATAACCACAATGGCTGTGTTTTCAGTAATAAGGTCACTCTATAGCAACCAATTGCTTTCAATTTAAGAATAAACTCCGCTCCCAACCCATTGGTGGTAAGCGCAGCAAATTACCAACCCGACACAAACGCGAACGTCAACATGCGTCACCCACGCAATGTCCTCATCGACCCGTTCGAGGAAGGGGACTTAAATACGTCGGACCCACCGTCAGAGGCCCCGCCAAATAACACTACACACTCAGTTAGTGCATCAACAAACACCGTAGTTCGTCCTCGTCGTCGATCACGGCGAAATCAGTATCTTGTATTAACTGATGTTTTTGCTTTCAGTCCCGAGACTATTAAAGCTTCATCTGACGCAGAACCGGCGGGCTAGCCAGAACCCACGGGTTTGGGCCCTCCGCTGTGGGTAGGGCCACGCATGTGCTCATGCTGAAATCAGTACAACGCGTACACTAGGTACACCCGCGTTCCAGGGCGGTTCTCACCGCCCCCAGCCACCGACTAACCAAGAACAGTCAAAGGCCATCAGTGGTCACGGTCCGCACAGAACCGGCCCATCGGCGACTGCCATAATTAACGCATGAGTATATACGCGGCCCTACCCACTGAGGAGCGTCTCAAACCCGTGGGTTCTGGCCAGCCATCGGTTCTGCGTTCGATGAAGCTTTAATATTCTAAGGACTGAAAGCGTAACATAAGTTATACAAATAAAAACAAACTCCATTCTTTTACAACCCAATGGACCTATTAGTATTTTATATGTAACACAAAGATTTAGTTTATTAAATCTCACCGTAGAATATACAGTATAAGAGTTACACAGATTTCTTCCTTGTTACAAGTAGGTTTATAATACAACAATATTGTTAGTTAATTAAATTCCATATTCAAATGAATGACTCATGGTGTAAAACTTAGCATTAATACTAACTTTGCGTAAATATTTACAATAACCCCTATTGTAAATATTTACGCACATTTTTCGTTTACAAATTTTCCGGTATTTCTTACCTACAAATTAATAAACCTGGTGGGTGATCTGGCAAATCGGGAAGCAATTTTAGTTTAACTAGAAGTTTCTACCGAAAATCGGGATGTGATACTTATGTAATGCAACTGTAAATAACTAGAAATCTGAGCTGAAAGGAAAACTTTAAAAAATTTGGGAATTCTACCTTCTACCTTCGGCCTTAACATCCAGCACGACCTCACAGAAGACCGGCGTGAAGTGGAATTGTTATGCTTCTGCGTTTCGTCTGGTGAGTGAGGTAGGGGGCGCATCTGCAACCCTACGGGTGGTGCACATGTCCACGGGTGGCGGTTGTCATTTGACATCAGGGGAACCACCAGCTCGCTTCCCACCTTCTCACATAAAAAGAAAAATCTCAAAGCTCGAGTCTTACCTCTCTTAGTGATGTGCTTGATCAACTCAATGCTCTTCTCCCATCAACTCAATGACCCGGTTAGTCTGATAGTTGTTGTAATAAGAAGCCGAGAGTAAATACTGGTAGGAACGTTCCAGATGCAGATTGGCGTACGCCTGGAGCTCGGTAGCGACGTTGCCATGGCGGCCATAGTTGCCATACACCGCGTTACACCTTGGCAGCGCTGGTAGGAAACGGTAGGAAGTGAATTTCTAATACGGTAACCCTATATTGATAGGTGTCAAACGATGCAAAATTTTAATCCAAATTAATTAAACGTAGTGATTACATTCTCTTTGATTTAATTCGTTTTCGTAGTTTTATTTTTAAAGGCTACGGTAAAAATTCCGAACAGTACGTCTCGTTTTTCAAGCTAGAAAAAAATTTTAATCGATAGAGAAATGTTAATAATTAAATATTACATACATGAAAACCAAGGCAAACACTTACTTTTAATAAAAAAAATATTTAAAACTTGTTATTTTCACTAAATAAATCCGCCATTTTGTGTTTGACAACATGTATAAATTTACGAATTCACACACTTTTCCAAATTATAACCAACGCATTATTAAAAAAACTTTAAAAATACTAAAAGTACTGTTACACTAACATTTTTTTATTACATTAAAGTTTTCTGTGTGGTCATAAAAAAAGAACCTAACAACGAAGGCTAAGGCGGGAGCTTAGCTCTTCTAACCTAACCTATCCGAGTCGTATCGCTCTGTGTCGGATCTGTGACACATTTTGGACCTAATATTCGAGACATTAAGTGTACACTAAGTGACAAATTTTAAATTTTAGAAATTGTTAATAATACATGTTCATGAAGTAGAAACTTGTGTTTTTGTGATATATGTGTATTTGTGTCTTCTTACAACGTAAAAAGTGAAAACGTAAGTTTTTAACTTAAAATAATAGTCTATAATGAATAATGGACGCACAGTAATGACGGATTTCAGTTGTATGAAATTTAAAAACTTTGTTAATTTTTTCCTCATAATCTAGTGGTTTTCATTGATTATAACTTATATAATATTTAGTTATTAACATTTCTCTATAGATTAAAATTTTTTTCTAGCTTGAAAAACGAGACGTACTATTCGGAATATTAGCCCTAAAATGTAATAAAGATAACAATTTGTTATATTACTTTTGTTAGCTGTAAAGCCTATGTATGTAAAAAAAAACTAAAATTAATGAGGTCCATTTACGCGTTTTTATTTATTTAAGATACTGGTTTACTTAAGATTAAGGAACTGTTTAACTTTAGTTTTATGTATAGTTAAACTATAAAATTGAGTAAATATTAGATTTAGCTTTTTTCCGTTACGTTATTCACTTAACATTATTTCCTATTTAATCCATAGAGAAACAAAAAGCGAAGAAATAAAACAACGTTATTTTCACTAAAGACATCCGCCATTGTCATGCGTGTTCATATTATGCAAGTGGTAAATCACCTTTTTACTTTGTTGGACGGTAGACTGATAAAGCCTATTTCTACCTGACTAGCACGCATTATCAACAATCGTTTTCAATACAAATAAAACGATTTGTTCGAGCATCACGGAAAAACTACTGAATAGATTTAAATTAATTCTTTTAAGCTTTATTTCTCAGACAGATGCGCCTGAACTGAAAAAAAATTATGACCTCTTCATTTAATGTTAATAAATTTATTGAATTTTTAAGAAATAAGCATTACATGTTCAGTTCCTGCCATGCTCTTCTTTCTATCTGTTCCTCAACTATATGCATTATGTATACATTTTTCTTTACTTTCGATAAAATTAATTGTGGCAAATGTTCAGCAAATTTTCAAATTGATAAAAAAACAAATGATTGAGAAAAGTCACTAATGAAATAATCAACCAACAGAATTCTCCGGTTGTTTATAGTATCGAGAAAAAAATATTTAAAACTTGTTATTTTCACTAAGAGAGTCCGCCATTTTCTTGCTTTGACTTCAAAAACCGTAAACACAATCGTTATTAAATATAAAATAGTGGATTTCTTCAGTGAAAATAAAAAGATTTTATTATATTTTTTTAGAAAACTTTTACGTTTTTATTTTTTTTCTCATTTAAATTTTTTTTATTTGCAATATCAACTTCAAAATTTGCTGAACAATTCGACATTAGCGCCGATACAAAAATCAATTCGTCATTAAAAGAATAATTTTAAGTGCATAACGTAGGCAGTAGCCACCAAAATGTTAACCATTTTAGAAGCTGCACATTTCCAAATTTTAAGTGCATAACGTATGCCGAAATGTTTACAATTTCAGAAACCACACATTTCCAATACATTAACGATATGCAGATGAAGGACTTTTTAATACGGGGACTGTTAGACACTGCTAGAAACTCACCGAGGCTGTTGGAGGCTTGACCGCAGTCCATTGACACGTCCTGATAGCACGTGTCGGCAGCCATGACGCCAGTAACGGCGAGGGCGCAGGCGAGAGCGAAGATCAACTTATTCATCTTGCTGTAACAATAATACAATAGTAAAAAAAGTGGGAATTGTTCTGGTTTAATTCTCACTGAGGATAATTATGGTAGTAAGATTTTGTTCTTAGGATGAAACTAATATTGAACTGATAAACTAGGAAGTGGAGTAAATTTTGGATAAACTGGTATTGATTTTAATGATTAGGATAAATTCAAAATAGTAAAATGTATATATTTTTTTACAAAAACTATGTTTAAATTTTTTGTGCTATAGTTTTCAACATACCTAAATCCAGCCCTGTTTATCTGTTATTCATTAGTATACTCTGTTTCACTTGTATGCACTTCTTTTATTTAAATACATCAACAATATTGGCCTAAAGGTGATTGAGGAACAATAATAAATAACTGTAATATATTTCACATTTAAGCAACCAGATACAATTGATATCTGTGAACAATATCAAATAACAATGAAATTATGCATATTGAGAAGCTGAAAACAGATGTATCCAGTATCAAAGATAATATTTGTAACTCAAAATGAGTATGCGTATGATGAGTAAATTATTTTTGTACATTTTTTAATAAATGCTAAGTTTTATTAACGATGGTATTGCACATTGTTTACTTTCTTAATTTTTATTTAAATTTCCTTAGTGTCAATTACACTATTTTGCAAATAAAAATCGGTAAATAGTATAGGTGTAATATATAAATGATGAATAATTTAAATGTGGCGCATTTAATATTATGGGCGAGAACTTGAGTTCTGATTCTTTTGAAATAATTAGGTAATAGTAAAGACAATTAGTATAATATCTTGATAATAATGTATTGCCGGATTAATTCAAAATATTACAACAATCTAAATGTAATACTATTCATTATTGTATAATCCGATAAATGACAAAGTAAATCACGACTATCTTAAATCGTCATACATTCTGAGCTATTTACAATATATGATAAAAACAAAGCATCCTTATTTATTACGTGTAAGCTCTTGCGATAAATACTATTGGCGATTAACGAATAATTGTCAATTTTTTAAAGCAATCATTATCTAGAACAATCGGCATTGACATTAGGTGACGGATAATGATAAAAACAAAAATACCCTCGTACATCAATTGTTAACTGCATTAAACTTGAATACAAAGGGAAAAATGTACATGTACAAAAACTTACCAGAATTGACTGAATATTAGATTACGGATGAGAAAATAAATAGTTCCGTCGAAAGTGCAGCCTTTACACACACTGGCGCAGAAGGCGACTTTCAACACAAAGAGCCCGATTGAACTGATAAAGTCCCGTGTTAGACGAGACAAAACAAAATTTATAATTTATCTCTTATTTTTCCGCGTAGTTGATGACTGACTGTGTTCGCGATTACAAAGGTAAAGTAGTGTTGTTGTCGTCATATGAAGTTGGCTACATTAGGCTTAGTGTTACCAGGTATAATTCAGAAATATCCATGTATCCATTTAAAACACTTTATAAATCTTTAAACAAATGTCTAAGATCATACCCGATTTTCATAGGAAGTGTTTTGATGTTGTGCTTGCTAAATACACTTTCAATTTTAACACCGATGTGAAGATTTCTTTCCTTTAATATAGGCAGAAATGTTATGAAGGTATCCCAATTTGCTCCTCCCGCACCCTACCCCGCACATGACCTAGCAATGACGCCTCCTACCTACTTGTCAACATAAAAACTCAAGGTTTTGAGTTCCAAATGATTTCGTCATATTACACGAAAAGCTCATTGAATTTATTGATTTCACATTATTCAATCGTTTGACACACTCGAATAATCGTTATCTTGGCAACTTTACACGCATTATATGGCGCATTGTTAACAAATAGGCCATTCGAAGGTAAAAATATTCCACCCGCTTGGAACACAAAACCTTGTTGGCAGGCCACTTCATCATCTGTCTCGCTCACGCATCGTATGTCATTTACTCGGAGCGCCTTGTCAACACGACATGCTTTTGTTATCGCTGCGTAGTCGAATATTTTTCTCGTATAATCTAAGCCAGACGCACAAATAGCGGGTGTTTTTCATTTTACCGTGATTAAAGGAGTCGCCTTCTGCACCAGTGAGTGTAAAGGCTAGACTTTCACAAGTAATCGCGACCGACGGAGCTTGCTTTGTCAGTTTTTCCCCTCGTCAAAGTATCTGTGATTTTAATTGTAGATTAAAAATGAAGGCTGTAATTTTTGCTGCCGCCGCGCTGCTCGCCGTTTGCACTCCGACTTCCGCGAAACAATGTAAGTGTATTCTATTTTTAAAATAAAATATCTTTATTCCTTTGTCCACTGTGCATCAAGCAAATCATTCAAAACCATCCAAAAGATCATAGAAAAAGTAAATTAATATCAATGAATAAAGTTCATTTTTCTACAGCTCTGTCATTTTCTGTTTTCACCCCCGATTTTGTTTTTCGAACAAAATGTTACATAATAATTAATATTGTTTTACCGACTTAACACTTATACTTCATTTTTATAAAGATTATAAATTAGTTATGGTTGCTAACATCTTTTGGCTGATTTCAGTATTTTTCATATTATTAGGCTATACAAATGCTTAGAAACAATGATGTATTATTTAAAAGATTTCTTATTTGGAAAATGTCATAATTGTTACTACTTTCAAAAAAGCTGTACAATTACTGGTTTTTAGTTTCGGCGTTCAGTATTTTGCTTCATTTTTTTTAACAGTATAATATACATAATATATAATAGAATGCAGATTGAAATACTTCTTCTTCTTTTTTCGATTTTCATAATTTATCATCAAATTCAAGACAAATTTCATCACAACCTTGGCAGAGAATGTTTTATGAAAAAGTCTTGAATTGTTGATATTGTTATTGATGTTTCATACATTACAATACACATCTTTTTGTTTTCTGACAATGCAACAGGCAATAATAAAAGAGGTAATTTAAAAGCTCTTCTCTGACTTAAAATCTGTTGGGTACTTAAATATAAGTATGTGTGTACACATTTGTGATTTATCTTTACACAACAAGATTATGATTAAAAATTAAACTAAATCTACATATCTTAAATCCTGTTTTATTTATTATAATGTATTTAATTATATAAAAACATCAATTAAGTAAGTCCAATAAAATGCTGGGTAAATGTAAATAACTTTAACTCCGGCGTGATTCAATTGAAATAAATTTTAAACGATAGAGAGGGATCAGTAATGAATTTATCAACAAGCAGAATTTGGCGGTCGCTTGTAGTTTTCGAAAAAATAAATAATGAAATAGTGTGATTTTTACTATAGAAATCTGCCATTTTTTGTTGTCAATATGTCAATTCAGCTGGTATTTCTTGGTGGTCATAAAAAAAAAACCTAACATCGAAGGTTAACCTTCTAACCTAATCTATCCGAGTCGGATTCGCTCTGTGTTGGTTCTGTGACTCATTAAATTTAAAAAAAATTGGAATATCGATACGTGTATGATGTCGCCCGCTTCCTATATTTATCACGTTGGCAAAACTGTTTATTGAGTTTTTGAAGTCAAACAAATAAAATGGTGGATTTCTTAGTACAAAAAACAAGTTTTAAATATTTTTTTCTCGAAAACTATAAGCGACCGCCGAATTCTGCTTTTTGATAAATTTATAAGTGATTTTTCTCTATCGTTTCAAATTTATTTGATATGAATTATGCTGGAGTTAAAGTTATTTACATTTACCAAATGCTGACTGATGCATTATTGTTCCTCATATTTCACTCATAACTGTATGTTACTTTAAAATGTAGGATGATTAATATAGTTTATTTAATCTGTAGTATGAATGATAATACTGGCCATGTGTTAGTATGAAAAACATTGTAAATGGTAATTATTTATATCTATAAATTATAAGTGAAATTTATAGAACAATTAAACCTTTTTTATGTTTTATGAATAAGAGAAGTAAATATTTTATCCCACTAATAAATGGATACATAAATATCATCTTGCTTGTAAACTATTACTCCTACAAGTAAATTGTAATGGTAAAGTCCTTTGATGGTAACTTATAGTGCAAAATACATGATTTATGTTTTTCCCCTCCATTTAATATAGCATTTAAAACAAAAAGTGCTCTACCTGTTGTAAATCTTGAATGGTAGATGTGGCTAATGGCATCATTTTCAAACCAAGTATGTATAATCTGAGATTACCAATCAACAGTAAAAACTATTGCCAGATGGGACAAATGTTGACAAATAATACATAACTATAAACTTGAACATTTGCAACTGAAGAGAAGAGGCAGAGATGATTAACTTTTCGTAATCATGTTAAATGAAAGATCGACAAAAAGAAAACTTCAAATTAATTTTATTTGTTATAAAGAACAATATTTAATAAACTTATACTTTGTAAACGCGCCTGGTGTGAAGCACTATGAAAATGTCCCAATGGAGGACCTGCCTTCTTTTTTTATTGCTTTAATTATTTTATTTTGGGTTATAGGTTTTAATTAAATATTATTACACCTATCCAAAGGGTGCAATTATTTGCAATAATAATAATGGTGAATAAACCTTGTCTATATAAGTGCAAGAACTTAAGACTGAAGAACTTTGTCATCTATCAGAATGGGAGTTTGTTACCTTACAATATCAATAATATTCTCTGAAGATATCTCTATCTAAATCTATCAGTAAGTCTTTCAACACTCAGCTGTCTTAGATTAAATTCGCTTTTGACCTTAAAATAAGTGACAAGTGATGACCTGGGGTTGTCAGATAAGTAAATATGTGATGTCCCATTTTTATCTTCAGCTTCAGATGGTTTGTGTTGATAAAAACATCTTTATTGTGCAATCACTATTTGCAGTTACTATTTCATGAAAAAATGGAAAATATTTTTTTTTAACTAAGCAAGAATATTAATTTCTTATGCATACCCTAGTATATATAGTATAGCCCTCTAGTATTATAAATTAAAAACTAGAGGGCACCCAGTCTCACAATTCAACCGTAGTTAATTATACATGGTAGTGTGTGTAATGTTTTCTATATTGATAATGTATTTTTTATACATAATTAAAAAAATTATATTAGCATTCTGCACTCCTTCTCTATAAAAACTATAAGTGTGGGAAATTTCATACTCTTCCATCCGCCCAATTTTCGTAAAAAGGGCTACAAAGCCTTCTTCACATATTAATATAGAGATAGACTTTTTTCTTAAATATATTTTTTCATCAACTGCGCAATTAATGATGTGATCAATTAAAATCAAGTTTATTTTTGTATGAATTTGTTGTTTAATTTTATAATTTGCTTAGAAGTTGTTTTCGTAAAAAAGCGCAAATTGAAACATGAAATCATACTGTTTAGCTGTAAAAGTATAGAAGTACCATTAGATTTTGATTCCTTGACATTGTGTAAATTTATATTAACAAAAGAATCGCGTGATAATACCGAATGGAACTATTTACTGTAGACACAAACAATTGGCAGCAATGATTAATACCTATTCAATATGTAACGAATGTCACGGTGTGCCAGTGTCGGCCATTTTACGTCTTTGTACATTGACCCTTTGACACTGGGTAAACATGATAGATTATTGCTCAATGTAACACATACGCCCGGTTTCTGAAACACCGATCATCGAAGATGTCAACTAATCAACTGTCAAATGACTTACCAAATTTAATTTTAGTTACCGAAGGGTTGGTTAAACTCTTTGAATTGACAAGAATGATCTTCTTAATGATCGGAATGATTCTCGGTTTGACTAAAAATACTTCAGTCAAAACCCGAAAATGGGTTTTATGTGGGGGTTTGCCCTAAGGCATTGGTAGCTATCTAACCTAGGATAAACCAGTCATTCCGGGAAGAGCCTGCATATCGACCTTTGACTATAACATATACCTAGCAAATTTTAAAAAGAACCGTGGCTGGGCAAATGCCTCCTCTGTACAGAGTAGATTGCCGGAGTTCACATATCTCCGAAATGTAATTTTTTTGTTATTATTTCAAAAATATGCAGGTTTCCTCACGATGTTTTCCTCCACCGCTGATTACATTTTACAATTAACAGAGTTTACAATTAAAAGAGTGCCCGGACAATGAGCTATCGAGAGTCTTTATTTTCCTAGTCCGTGACTTATAATAAAAAGTTTTGGCGGTCGCAACGCCAAAACGTTGTTCTTCCAAAGTTTAAACGTGTTTAGACTTTGATGTCATTTCTGTCTTCCTGGAACCGCAACAAAACACTGTTTCTTATATTCTTTTCTTTTGTTATTTGTTAAGTTTCATACCAATGTTTTCGTCTTTGTTATTTTTTCGAATTTTTTATGATTAACTTCTGCATTACATATTATGGCATTTACAAACGAAACGTTCTTAGAATTTTTGATCGTCATTCATCGATGGACATGGTAATTTTTTTTTATTTTTAATGAAAAAATAAAACTGCTTATTATTAGCATATCCTTACTGTAAAGTGTTCGAAACATCGTGAACTAAAACTAAAGTCTGACTCGGTGAAATACGTTAACTACCTAGTTTTATTTAAAAATATTGCGAAAGTATCGGAAAAAATTGCGAACAATACGCTCCCCTTCTTTATCTGTTGTTATATTGATTAATTTTTTAAATCGAAAAGGTAACGTCAACCCGGTCAACATCCCGAAGACATGGATCACGATGCACCAGAGCTGCCGCTCCAGCATGCGCCGCCAGATCCAGATGGAGGTGGCAGCCTCAATGCAGTACCTCGCGATGGGCGCCCACTTCTCTAGAGACGGGGTGAGTTCGGCCATTTTGTTTGCTATTCTGAAGTGAAACGCCCGCGAACTCAACCTCAAGCTACTCACATAAATATTTTTTTTTATGCGAAAAGTTGTCAAACCAGCAGACGGTGCACCTGATGTTAAGTGAATACCGCCGCTCGTGGACATCTGCCACCCGAAGGTTACAGATGCGTTGACAACCTTTTGAAAATTGGGCTCCGGCCACGTCACTCACCAGACGAAACGCGAAAGTATTTGTCGTACTTCCACTTCGACGCGACGATTCGCACTTGGCCTTCAGAAACCACGAAGACATAAAAAAATCGGTCGAATTGAGAAACTTCCTTCTTTTTTGAAGTCGGTTAAAAACAGATTTAAAGACTATTATATACTATACATTTGAAATTGTTATATTTAAAGTGAACTATGTAATGTTTTAACGTGATAGAAGACGTCTTTAGCTTGAACACCTGATATGGGCATACATACATCACTATATGTGTTGGTGCAAGGCAAACTCGATAGGATGGCTAATTCCCCAATAAATAAAGGAAATAGTTTTACGCCTTTCGGCTAATATTCCGAATAGTACGTCTCGTTTTCCAAGCTAGAAAAAAATTTTAATCTATAGAGAAATGTTAATAACTAAATATTATATAAGTTATAATCAATGAAAACCACTAGATTATGAGGAAAAAATTAACAAAGTTTTTAAATTTCATACAACTGAAATCCGTCATTACTGTGCGTCCATTATTCATTATAGACTATTATTTTAAGTTAAAAACTTACGTTTTCACTTTTTACGTTGTAAGAAGACACAAATACACAGATATATCACAAAACACAAGTTTCTACTTCATGAACATGTATTATTAACAATTTCTAAAATTTAAAATTTGTCACTTAGTGTACACTTAATGTCTCGAATATTAGGTTCAAAATGTGTCACAGATCCGACACAGAGCGATACGACTCGGATAGGTTAGGTTAGAAGGTTAAGGTTAGCCTTCGTTGTTAGGTTCTTTTTTTATGACCACCCAGAAAACTTTAGTGTAACAGTACTTTTAGTATTTTTTAAAGACTCTTTTTTAATAATGCGAAGGTTATAATTTGGAAAAGTGTGTGAATTCGTAAATTTATACATGTTGTCAAACACAAAATGGCGGATTTATTTAGTGAAAATAACAAGTTTTAAATATTTTTTTTATTAAAAAAATAAATTTACGGTGGTAGAGCCACGCAGCAGCTTCGGCTGTTGCACGAATGGGAAGGCTCGTCCGGGTAAGTACCACGACCTCACAGAAGACCGGCGTAAACTGGAAGTGTAACAAATACTTTCTCGTTTCGTCTGGTGAGTGAGGTAGCCGGAGCACAATCTCCAAAAGGTTCTCAACGTATCTGCAAACCCTCGGGTGTAGCAGATGTCCATGGGCGGCGGTATTCACTTAACATCAGGTGAACCGTTTGCTCGTTTGGCAACTTTTCACATAAAAAAAAAAGTGTTTGCCTTGGTTTTCATGTATGTAATATTTAATTATTAACATTTCTCTATCGATTAAAATTTTTTTCTAACTAGAAAAACGAGACGAACTGTTCGGAATTTTTACCCGAGGAACCTGTAGGTCTAAACGTACAAGACCGAGGAACCTCTTGGTCTTCTGTGTGGAATACTGAAGGTATTCTTCGGTTGACAGATCAACCGGCCAGGTTTCGCCAAGCTGTTCTTCGACGCCGGCTCCGAGGAGAGGGAGCACGCAATGAAGCTGATCGACTACCTGCTGATGCGAGGTGAACTCGACACGGACGTGACGTCACTCATCCAGATCCGGGTAAGATCATGTTAGCTTATCCGGCACAATGCTAGGTCCCTAAGCATTGTTTAATTCAATTTTCCCATCGTTACAATTTTCAATTGAGCCGAAGCTAGGAAAATGCGTTTAATAAAACTGGCCAAGCGCGAGTCGGATTCGCGCACGAAGGGTTGCGTACCATTATCTATAAAAACGGCAAAGAAATCATGTCTGTTGTATGGGAACTCTTAAATAATTTTTTTTTATTTTGTTTTTAATAATGTGTGAAAATTTCAACCTAACAAGTCTAACTATCACGGTTCATGAGATACAGCCTTGTGACAGACGGACAGACAGCATCAGACAGGCAGACAGATGGAGTCTTACTAATAGGGCCTGTTTTACCCTGTTTTTTTACTTGGATAGGGAACCCTAAAAACTGATCCTAAAGCTAATCAACAGAAATGGCACTAACTGCTTAAATACTTAAGATCTTAGTGCCATTTCTGTGCCTTAAATATTTAGCATTTAGTGCCATTTCTGCTGATTGTTGTTGTCGCTATCAACAAAGTGACTTGACGTATAAAGAGTTCTCTGAGCCACTGTATGCTAGCCGGACTTGTTTCGTGTGACTAGAATCTTTATGGTCTTCCATTGGCATTCGCGAGGGTCTGCAGAATAGACTGGTTAATGGAACCCCAAATTCCTCCAACAGTCCCCCGAGCGCAAGTCATGGGAGAGCGGCGTTGACGCGCTGGAGCACGCCCTGAAGATGGAGACAGAGGTCACTAAGAGCATCCGCTCGGTCATCATCGCCTGCGAGGCGGATCCCAACGACTACCACGTGAGTTCTATCATCATCCTACATCATTGTCATCATTCCCCTTGCTCAAAGCATCTAGCCTCTTGACTCATGGTAAGGAAGATAGGTCAGATCATCCTACATACTATATCATCCTACATGGTAAGGAAGCTAAGACAGCAGTATATACTGGCCGCTTCCAACTGTCAGTTGTGTTAAAGATTTTAATGTTCGCAGGACAGATAAATCCTGAATGTTATTTATTGACGTTGATAAATGCACCTTAGTATGAATTATAATGACTCCTTGGCGCAGTTGCCAAGGTATTGGCTTCGGCGTCGGGGTTTCTTGGGTTCGATTCCCACACGGGACAACTATTTGTGTGATACACAGATGGTCGTTTCGCATTTGGATGTTTGTCCACATGCCATTTATGTTTGTAAAATGTCCTTACAACTTTTTGTTTCTGAGCTGGTGGACTATGTCCTAATACTATACGTACAGCGGAGGCCGTTGTCCAACAGTGCGATTATATTAGCTTGTTACTATACTCTTGTTTGCGGTGAAGGAAAACATCGTGAGGAAACCTGCATTTTTTCTAAATAATAGTAAAAAAAATATTTCGAAGATATGCCCATCCCAGTGGGGCCGCGTGGTGGCCTGTGCCCTAATACCCTCTGTACAGAGGAGGCCTTTGCCCGGCTGTGGGACATGTATAGGCTGATACTTTACTTTTGTTTACCATCATGTATATGTGGGTCATAAACTACCTTGTCACCCAAAAAGTGTTTCCAGGTCACTAGGGAGTGTTCATACTGTAGTGCTTTTGCTTCGGTATATAGAAATCTCTAGACGCAGGTGTAAAGATGAGAACTTTTTGTGCAGCTGGTAGACTACTTGACCGGCGAGTTCCTGGAGGAGCAGTACAAGGGACAACGCGACCTCGCCGGCAAAGCGTCCACTCTCAAGAAGATGATGGACCGCCACTCCTCCCTCGGGGAGTTCCTCTTCGACAAGAAGCTGCTCGGCATGGACATCTAAAATGCAGCGCCGCAGTGCTCGCGCCTCGTATTTGATGTCAAAAATACAGATTGAAAATTAGCATTGAAATATTTTAATTCGTTAGATTAAAAAAAAATTGCTGGCAACACACTATTTAAAAAAAATATCACAAACGTTCTGTAGAGATTGTTATTTAAAATAGAAGACGTATGTAGACGTGTTTTTTCTATAGTCGTAGAAATAAAATCTTATGTCAGTAAATCGTTTGCCATGTGTGTTTTTCCTATTAAAAAAAAAATATAAGTTAACCCGCCATTTTGTCAATCGTTTAGATTAAGAGCAATGCTAAAGTAAAATTATTAATTAAGATTAATTAGAAATTATAAATTTTACTCCACTATAATGTGATTTAATTATATCGCTTGTTAAATAGTACTGAACGTAGGCCATTAAACATCTGGTCGATTTTGGCGCGAACCGAGACAGAAATGTCAAAACGTAAGCCATTGCCGTATTTATTGTAATTTCAGTTTGATTTTTATTATTATTTCTTTTCTTAAATAAACTTAAACAACCCAACCGAAGTTTTGTTTCCATTTCAATGCAATGCTTGCACTGACGATTCGAATGGAATAGTGGTTTGATGCTTTGAGTTATGAAAATGCCGCTAATTTTCTCAACGATCACTTCGCCCCACCTCTTTAGATGCCTAGTCGTCATAACGTGAGCGTAAGTCATGACGTCATGAGTGACGTTTTCGCCGCGACCACAATGATCGCGGTCGTTATGTGGAACGACTAAAGGTGCGTTCAGATCGTTGTGGGTGCTTAGTGGCGCGCACCCATTGTATTAATACTATGTTGGTTATCGAAATTGAGAAGTTGTTAATTACATCCCTACTTCAGTATAAATACTAATGTATACATGAATATAAATACTAATGCATTTAACCTAACAAATGTAATTTGTTTGCAAGAGCAGTCATTAAAAAAGAATCCAAAACCAATTAAAAGTCGATTTGCTGCAAACCAGATTGAATTTTATTTGTTAAAAAATATTAAAACTATAACATCTCCCTAAGAGACTTCTTGGAAAGCTTTGAGGTGGCACCCCTTGGCAATTGCTTTAAAAATCGAATCCCGCCCTCCATTTTGATTGTGCTCAACTGAAAATCAACAAACAATATTATTCTACCTCGTAATATTTGGTTCACACAATATTTGGTCCGCAATGATATTTCATAGTATATAATATATATAAACGAGCCCACAGTGAAGCTGGGAAAACGTCCCAATTAGGACGTAGATTTAGTTCATATTAGGCAGAGCGAGTAAGACGCGGCGTCAAAAATTTTAAAAATATTCAGATTACGGACGGATACCTCGTAATAGGGTCCCGTTTTACTCTTTGGGGTACGGAACCCTAAAAACGACGGAGTTCTGAGGTACAAAAAAAAATAATATGTGTGTACCTACGCAAGTTAGAAGTTATACTTCTTTAACGTAACAAAATAAATAAAAATGTTAGCCCCTGTGCCAGTACTCTTTGTTTGTGAAAATGAGATTAAATGTCGATCAATGTTCGCTTGTGAACCAACTTCATAATTTTTTTATGTGAATTAAAAGTTGCCAAGTAGCCCGATCGAGCCCGCCCATTCGTGCAACAGCCGAGGCCGCTGCGTGGCCCTACAAATAACGAAGCCGGGTCAGAAGAAAGTGATTACTCGACCGACCTGCTGGCCAATGAACGCCACCAGGTCGCGTTCGGTGACGGCAGCGCCAGGCTGTGCCACCACGAAGGCGGCTGGCACCTCGCAGTGGTCAGGGTGCGGCATCCCCACCACCCCGGCATCCTTCACGGCGGGATGCCTCAGCAGGGCCGCCTCCACCTCCGCCGGGGACACCTGACCGCGAACCGCACCGTAGGTGTTACAAATTTTGTTTCTTTTTTACTTAATTAGTTTGTTTGAAAAATATTTTTTTTTAATTATGAATTTTTTTACGTTAATATTTTTTTACGATTATTGGCAAGTAGCGTTAGACGTGTGTTCATTTATTGTCGCAATGGTAACGACACGCTGTATATATTAAAAATGAATTGCTGTTCGTTAGTCTCGCTAAAACTCGAGAACGCATGTACCGATTTGACTGATTTTTGTTTTGAAATATTTGTGGCGGCCCAGGGAAGTTTTAAACGATGAGAAATTATGGAAAAATTGCATGGAAATTCGAAATAGCAACAATTTTATTACCACCTGTCAAACATTTTATGCGTGCGTTCTGAAAATTCTTTTTCAGATTCACAAATTGTCTAGAAATAATTTATATGGCAAAACGTTTGCCGGGTCGGCTAGTGTTCTAATATATTGAACGCTCAGCTAGCCTTCTTTCTTATGTTGACGGCAAACTACGACAAGCGAGTTCCTGTGGTAGAAACGTTGCACTAATGGACAGGCTCGTCCGGAGGTGCCATACAGAACACCGGCTAGAAGGGGTATAATACGATCGCGTTTCATCGGCAAACTGCAAAGCCTCAAGTGTCGTGGGCCGTAGGTCCAAGGTGGTTATAACTTAACATTAGGTGAGAAGATGGCCTGATTGCATGGCATCCTCTTACATGAACAAGTGCGAGTCATACTTGTCTATAGTCGGACTAGTTATCAAAATATATCAAAATAATGGTGGTAGTTACCAAAATTTAATATCGGAATCATAGATAGTGAAGCCGCGGACGGAGGCTACATTTTTTTATGTGAAAAGTTGCCAAGCGAGCAGACGGTTCACCTGATGTTAAGTGAATACCGCCGCCCATGGACATCTCCTACCCCCAAGGGCTCCAGATGCGTCGACAACCTTTTGAAAATTGGGCTCCGGCCACCTCACTCACCAGACGAAACGCGAAAGTATTATACTCCGAGAGGTCGTGGAACTTACCCGGACGAGCCTGCCCATTCGTGCAACAGCCGAGGCTGCTGCGTGGCCCTACCACCGTAAAAACAATATGTGAAATTACCGTTGCACCGCGATATTTTATGAGATCCTTCAGTCTGTCGACAATGTAGAAGTATCTATCTTCGTCATAATAGCCAACGTCCCCTGACTTGAAGAAGCCCTCTTCGTCCAAGTAGTCACGCGTCGTTTCTCCGACATAACCTTAAATTCAAACAGGGTTATCCAATACGGGCGAGATTTAAAAGGTCTCTAAAAGTTATAACATTATTCACTGATTCCATATTGTTCAATCTCAAATCGTGCTCGATGCTTCGGATACTTTGTGTCATGGTGAAGAGACGGAGTGAATAATAGCCGAACAATAAACGCAAGAAATTATTAGACAGCTTCTTGTATCTTGTATTAACTGATGTTTTTGCTTTCAGTCCCGAGACTATTAAAGCTTCATCGGACGCAGAACCGGTGGGCTAGCCAGAACCCACAGGTTTGGACCCTCCGCTATGGGTAGGGTCGACCCTATGGGTAGGGTCGCCCTATGGGTAGGGTCGTATTAGACAGCTAATATTCGAATGTGATAGAAAAACAGGAGCCCTATTCATCAATAGGGCACCTTAACCTTTTTTAAAAAAAAAGGTTAGGTAGTTACTGTATATGTCTCACTGCAGGGTAAAGATCTGTACAAAAGTTTTTAATTAGGGCATAGTCTACCACGCGACCCCACTGCGGATTGGGGCACTTCACATATCTTCGAAATATTAATTCGAAAATATACAAGTTTCCTCATTCACCGAATCACATGTCCTCGTACATGATAGATCACTTTAAAATAACAATTCCTTTGGTGCCAGCACCGGCGATCGAAATTAGGTTACTCGAGTATGTTGAATTAAAAGCGAACGCCCGGACAATGAGCTATCACCGCTGTTCGTGTGTTTCAGCACATTATTATCGTATATCGTATCTTGTGCATGACGACCATGCGATGACGCTGTCCGCCCCACTGCAACTCCCACTATTTCTTTGGTATCCGGAGGGAAAACCAACTCTGATAAGGCCTCAGAAGAGGACAAACCTCTGTTTTCTATCAATTTCCTTTTAAGTGGTGTCTTCAAGAGTACACATCTTATTGAGCTAGTTCATTTACCGTCTACGGCTGCTTCGATTCTTACCATCAGATGGGATAGCAGTCAGCGCTAGGCAGGCTCCTATAAAAAAGTCTTCGCGAAACGTAAACTCACCTGACATCAGCGATAATGATTTGAAACAGAGCTCTCCGATCTCGTTGGCTCCAAGTGGCTGACGAGTCTTCAGGTCCACTATCTGAAAATAAAAATAAAAGTCCAATCTTTTACAGCCATAAACGTGAGTATCGTAATATGTTATATGTAGAAATCTTTGTCGCAATATGTTATACAAATGATTTTCATCTCTCGTTTTATAATGAGATGTTAACTAATAATCGGTTATGACTCGAATGAACGACACCGAAAGTACATCGGAAGAGTCTTCCGATGTACTTTTATACTATACCAAGAATACTAAGGTACTACCCACACGCTAAAACTTTGCCGCAGCAATAACTCTCAAAAGTTTCCCCGCAATCGGATGAATTGTAAACACAATAATTTTTATTTATAAAAGGAAACATCACGGAGTATCACAACGCTTACTACTTTTCCGTTTCTATTTTATTTTTTGTGACTGACCTTAATGACTACTCCAGGATTAGCGCACCCCACGCTTCCAGCCTTTGGGCCCATGGCAGAGTTCAGATCGTCAGTCAGGCACCCAGCCTCCGTCATCCCGTAAATCTGGGACACCAAGCACGCATTGGGAAACCTGAAGGCCATATTGACTTTGATGATTTATGTTGGAATCACTGAATCGACTGTAATAATACGAACGGCAAATTTTCGAAAGTCTTAAGTGCGTATAAAGAGAAACTGTTGAAAATTCGACTACTGAAAGAATAGCCATACTAAAACGAAATTAAATTCCAAAACACTTACCCTAAAAGAAAAAACTATGTGGCTTATAAATATGGGCAATAGATTTTATAATATGTGACATTGCTTCTTTATTAACCCAAATAATAAGTTTAGACTATAGCTAAGTTCTTAAGTTAATTAAGTATATCACATTTGTGCCAGTATATAAATCAGATTCAAGAGAAATTGCCTCTGACTACCATCCCATCGCTATGTCAGTTTTAAGCAAAGTATTTTGGAAAATAATGCTGGAACAAAATAATAGTTCATTTTAATAAATATGAAATTTTAAACCAGCACCAAAATGGATTTTAGAAAGGTTACAATTGATGCAGGAATAGAATTAGTTTCGTATATCCAGTCTTAGTAAACCTGCCATGACATGATGCGTTCTGTATGACCTTTCCAAAGCATTGAACCGTATGAACATATAATTCTTACGAGAAACTTGGAATATTTTGGTATTCGCAAATCTGTCATTGACATTGTTTCCTAGACCAACAGGTAAAAAAATAATCATAATTGGTAAACTGTCATCAGGAGTACTAAAGGGAGTTCCCCAAGGATCGATCCTGGGTTCATTTCTATTTTAGTGCAGATGACACTTTGGTTTAAAGTTAAAAACAAAGATGAAATACTATAGCAACCAAATAAATTAATACATGTTGTTTCAGGCTGGTTTGGAACGAAAAATTTACTTTTCTCCACTAAAATACTTGTACAAAATACTGCTTTCCTGAAAAATACCGGATTAAGAATCTCTGAATACCTTGATGAAGCCGGCAGAAAAGAAAGAAAGAGAATGCACGAAATTTTACTTGAAGCAAGAAGAAATGGAAGACATGCGGTAATACGTAACAACACTCTAATAATAGACGGGAAACAACAGGTATTTGAAGATGACAAGAAAACAAACACTACACGCAAGAACAATAACACATCAGGATATAACACCAATCAAGAAAACAAAACTTTTCGAAACCAAAGATTTACCATGTAACGTTCTTTTCCAAAACATACAAAGCCTTAACAATAAGCAACATATTCTTGAAGCATTCCTTGAACAGGACCCTACTTATCAAGCAGTTTGTATATCGGAAACCTGGCTAAATCAAGGAAAACTGGATCTTATAAACATAAATAAATACCAAGTAGCATCATCGTTTTGCAGAAAAGATCGAAGAGGTGGCGGTGTCTGTATACTGCTACAGGAACAAATTAAGTGTATAGACAGAAGCGATATTACGAATATGTCGATCGAATACGTCCTAGAAGTGTGTGCAACTGAACTACCAAATGAAAATATTCTATTAGTAGTAATGTATTGGAACGGAAGAGAGAAAGACGTATTTATAAACAACTAAAACTTATTTTAAACTTTATCACAAATAAATATTCAAAACTAAATATAATATTAGGTGGAGATTTTAATATAGACGTTTTAAATAACAGTGTAGAAGCAAACGAATTTATAAACCTTATGCTAGAACACAATCTTACTCAACACATAAAGGAACGTACACACCATCTCTGTTTAGATCTCATATTTACAAACTTTTATGATATATACTCCTTAACTACAGTAGAGGATTTAGGGTTCTCAGGCCATAAAGGAACAAGCATAAAAATTAAAATAAACCTCGAAAAAATAAACAAATCTATAAAGTGAAAAAAAGATCCTACAAGGATAAAAATATCCATAAATTTAAATAGAAATTAAGAACTATAATTTGGCAAAAAATTATACTTCATAATAAAACTGTAAACGAAAACTATACGACATTCCAAAACACACTAACTAATATCTTAAATGAAACTATACCTAAAAAAAGTATTAAACGACAAAAAATATTGGCTAACAACTGGAATCAAACTGTGCTGCAAAAATAAAAGATTATTAAAAATACTAACTTCAAAAACTAAAAGCGACGTAATTAAATCTTATTATAAAAGATACGAAAAAATACTTAAGAGGCTAGTAACAACGGCAAAAAAAAAAAAATAAAATACATAAATAAGCTAAAAAAAAAAAATAACAAAGTAAAAAACGATGTGGAAAATTATTAAAGAAAGAACAAATAAAAAAACTAAAAATAAATATAACAATATAACTTTAAAAATAAATGACAGTATAATCTCTGAACCAAAACGAATCGCCAACATATTCAATGATTATTTTGCAAAAATTAGTAAGGGAAATGTCTCCCAGCCAAATGGAAATACTGAATCAAACGGTTGCCCTGTGATTAATCCTACAGAAAACACAATGTTTCTAGCACCTATCAAGAAATACACAAAATAATAAGAAATCTAAAAAATAAGAACAGCTACGGATTTAATGAACTACCACCAGCACTAATACGACAGTGTGCAAATGAATTAACTTTCCCTTTAACTATATTGATAAATCAGTCATTCGAAGAAGGTATTTTCCCAGATTTGTTAAAGAAAGGTATAATCAAACCCATCTATAAGAAAAATTGTAAATCAGACCCAAGCAATTACCGCCCCATTACTGTACTATCTACAATTTCAAAAAATTATGAGAAAGCAATGTGTGTTTGCGTATACTCATTTTGCGAAAAATATAAAATATTTAACGATGCCCAAAATGGTTTTCGTAGAAAAAGATCCACAACATTAGCAGTCTACAAATTTATCCAAGACGCTTTTCCATATTAAACAATAAATCGTATCCAGTAGGCTTATTTCTGGATATGTCAAAGGCGTACGATAGAGTACAGCATGAAATACTTCTTGAGAAGCTGTACGGTATAGGAGTACGAGGAGTAGATTAGACAGACCGATAGTACGAGGAGACCGACGACGGATATAACAATAGATGGCGCTAAGCATTGCTTCAAATGCTAAGAAAACAATGTGGAAGAATGCGTTAAGATTTTCGTCGGTGTGGTAATCAGCCGTTTAGCTCAGTGGCTAGAGCGTCAGGCCGCGAATGCCGAAGACGTGGGTTCGATTCCCACAGCGGCGACAATCTTTTCGCACTTTTTCTACATATTTTAATGTTGAAAACACAACTTACTTCTTCATCACAGCGTTTGACAGTTCTGCATCGATAGGCATGCTGGTAGACATCATGCACATGAGTGAGCTGACGTCGTACTCGTCGAGATTCGTTTTCACCATCTCGTTCACCGTGGTGGGCAGCAGATGGATTACGCTGACCTAAACAACACAGCTTATGTTAAGTCCCAGAATTTTTTTCTCCTCTTTTAATAACATTACCCTTACTTTAGGATAACATTATCCTGTGATCGCCGGCCGCATCGTCAAGCACCTAGAGCGCATCGGCCCAAATCTGGCAGATAGACAGTTTGGTTTCCGCAGGGGCCGGTCAACCATCCACGCGGTGCTGCGAGTGAGGCTCCTCGCACAGGAGGCGGTTTCCAAGGGCGAGGGCGTCTTGGCGGTGTCTCTTGACATCGCCAACGCCTTTAACACCTTGCCCTGGGCTTGTATAAAGGAGGCGCTTCGGTTCCATGGAGTGCCTCTCTACCTGCGCCACATCATCGGGGCCTATTTGTCGCACCGTCGTGTGGTGTACCCGTGCCGTGACGGCCAGGAGTCCACGGAGGTGACGTGTGGAGTTCCACAGGGGTTGGTGTTAGGGCCACTCCTGTGGAACGTAAGTTATGATTGGGTGCTGCGTGGCGCCTACCCCAGGGGTGTCGAGGTAACTTGTTACGCGGACGATACCCTTATCACCGCCCGCGGCGCCAATTTTCACCGGGCTGCTACTCTCGCCACATCGGGTGTGGCGCAGGTGTGGGGCGCATTCGGCGACTGGGACTAGAGATGGCGCTCACTAAATCCGAAGCCCTGTATTTCTTTGGGCCTCGGAATGCGCCACCTGCGGACGCCCACATAATAGTCTGCGGCGTCCGTGTCGACGTTAAGCCGACAATGAGATACCTCGGCCTAGTCCTAGATCGCCGATGGAATTTCGTTCCCCACTTCGAGCGCCTAGCTCCAAAAGTGGCGAGAGCGGCGGCAGCTCTCGGAAGGCTGCTCCCGAACGTTGGCGGCCCCAACGACACCTGTCGCCGCCTATACACCGGGGTCGTGAGGTCTATGGCCCTGTACGGTGCTCCCGTTTGGGCCGACACTCTGAATCGCCGGACCATGGCGCTTCTGCGCAGACCACAGAGGGTGTTGGCTATACGGGGCTACCGGACGATTTCCGGTGAGGCGGCGTGCGCGTTGGCCGGTTGCATTCCCTGGGACCTAGAAGCCAGTATCCTCGCGTCATTGCACTTCTGGCACGAGGAGGCAATAGCCCGGGGTCACCTGCCAGCCTTAGAGGAGTTGAAGGGGTGCAGACTAAGGCTGCGCTCACTCGCCATCGCCGAGTGGGAGCAGAGGCTGGAGTACCCCAGTGCCGGCCTTTGGGAGGTACCTGTGCCGCTTGGCGGGGAGGGAGCCAACAGCGGTTTGCCACCACTGCGACGTATGTGCCGAGGAGACGGCCTAACACGCACTGGAGGAGTGCCCAGCCTGGCGGGAGCAGCGCCGAGAGCTGATGGCTATCGTGGGGCACGATCTCTCGCTACCTGCCGTGGTCCGCGCTATGGTGGACAGCGAGAGGTCGTGGGGTGCCGTCCTTGCATTCTGCGAGGACATAATCACCCGGAAGGAGGCCGCGGAGAGAGAAAGGGAGGCAACTGCCACCCTGGAAATCCGCCGCCGAGACCAGGGCGCAGGAGGCTGGCCTACGCGCGCAACCTTCCCTCCTAATAGCAAGCCCCGGGGCGGCAGATGTGGGATTAACTGCTGCCCCGCGGAGGGCTTGAGAGGGGTGCCGTGCTCATTGCACCGACACGGCACCATTTGACTGGACCGGGTGTCCCTAACACCCGGGGAGGGGAGGCCTGAGAAGGCCACAGTCGCGCCGGGGTTCGCGGAAGATTGCGTTCTCGTGTTCCCGTGTCCCCGGTAAAGCGATAGCGCAGGTGCAACGTGGGTTTTTTAGTGGGTACGTGTAACTCCCACATACCCCTGCTGCCTACCCACAAGGCAGCGGGGGATCCATAAAGGATTTTACCCACGTAAAAAAAAAAGGATAACATTGTCCTGTGTTGTAAGGACGTTTTACAAACATAAATTTCACGCGGACAAACACCCAGATGCGAAACAACTGTCTGTGGGCCACACAAATAGTTGTTCCCTGTGGGAATCGAAGCCACGACCGCCGACGCCGAAGCCAATACAAAAAAAAAGTTTCTTTTATCCTAACTACAATGTTATGTTGGACGTGGGAACTTGTTTTGGTAGAAGGCCTTATCCATTAGGTATGTCCCTGTCGCTAGATGATAAATCACCTCCATGGGCATCTGGTACGTTATGCCACACTTGTCTATAGCTATAAAAAAGCCGGTCTTACCTTGTACTCCTGGATGATCCTGAGGATGTCCTTAACATCGTCGCTGGTGGTGAACACCACCGTCGCGCCAACCATCAGAGTCCCGATGGTGTGCTTCAAGCCGTATGTGTAGTACCAATCGCGAGTGCTGAACATCCTGGCGCCTACGAGGTTTCTAGAAGAGTCACAAATCCGTCAAAATCCATATGCGTCTATTCTAAAGTGCAACATGGAAAATGCAAGATATATTAAGCATGAAACACATCCCAAGCAATAAATAAAAATAATTTATAAACTGCCCAAGTGCGAGTTGGCCTCGCGCACGAAGGGTTCCGTACCATTATCACCGTACCAGATAAAAATCATGCTGTATGAGAGCCCACAGCCCACTTAAATATTTTTTTATTCTGTTTTTTAATATTTGTTATTATAGTGCCAACAGTGAAAATTTCAACTGTCTGTACTATCACGGCTCATGACAGACACCCTGGTGACGGATGGACAGACAATAATAGGATTCCGATTTACACATGGTCCCGTTTTTCGTGCCACACCGACACATATCGGGATTAAATCGCAATTTAAACTTTATTCCTTCCCCTTATTGATTGCGATCAAAGCCGAAGTTTGAACCTCAATCCGTGACCGTCTGAGACCATTGGTCGTCTACCTGCAGAACTCTTCCGCGGAAGCTGTCAAAGCCGCCGGGTTAACAGCAAACTACACGTCACAAAAAATTTACTCCTTGGGTACGGAACCCTAAAAACTTGCTAAGAATTAAACCCACCCATTTACAGTGAGAATTTATAGGTGGTGTAAACACATTTGATTGTAAATTAATTAATCTTATAAACCGTGTTCTTTGTAAACGAATCGTTGGTAGCCGAATAAATGCAAACGAGACTCACTTCGCAGCGAGGCCGTGTTGGAAGCACATTAGGAAGCTGAGGTGGGTGAACTTGGCACCTTTTGGGAGGCCGGTGGTGCCCGAGGAGTAGAGTATCACCGCTAAATCGGACCATCCCGTCACTGGCATTGGTATAAAATCTAGAATGAAAGTTTTAGTATACCTCGGTTTCTCGAGCCTCGAAGGCATAAACCACTAAAACACCCTACAAGGAGGTAATGATCGTGAATGGTGATCGTTTCACGTCAACATTTCGACGTTAGGACGCAGTTACAAAAGTGGTCAACAGTCATCTTCATCCTCCTGCCAATAATTAAAATGTGCGGGAAGTCGATGCAGGTGGAGGATCATACTTCGTGGCAGTCTATGGGGAGGCCTATGTTATGTTCAGCAGTGGAATCAAACAGCCTGAAATAATGCTGATGATGATGACATGCATTTTCAACGACATAATAGAAATTACACAAAAATGTATTTATTATGTTATCACATAAACCACGACAGGCAGGATAAGTAAGAGGTATAAAATTTTGTTGAAAAACTAATGGAAATTAATCCACGTCTATTTAGTATCGCATACAGACGTTTTGACCACTAAGCTATAGTATTTACGTATAACTACATCGTTTCTCGTATTTTAGCAATACGTGGGGCCATGTATTGCCCATTCCTGTTCCAATCAACTTCAAAAACGAACAAAAACCCGGGAGACAAAATTGAAGTAAGAATTACCTTCCAAGTTAACATGCTTCGTGACAAAATCTTTGAAGAGGATGGCGTCTTCGACGACGCTGTCGCCATAGACTACGGTGGACGCCAAATTGTTTACCAATTTAAAGGTCTTTTTATGCACTTTGTAGACGGACGGCGAGCAGAATATTACCCTCGGCTCTGGATTGCTTAGACGATGAAGTATTGAATCTGGAACAAGCGGCCATTTTTTTCCCTCAGCCAATCAGTAATTTCCGGCGTACGGTCCAATATTAATGGACAAAAAGGAAAGATGATGTACATACCTATAGTTATTTTTTATATAAATTAAAAAAAAACTTTAGTCTTAAAAATTTACACTTATGTCTAAATGTTCGACTCTCTTTTAATGGAATAAAGTAGCCGTTTACAATATATAATCACTTCGGTAAATTATCTAAGGGAAGAAAATAGAGAGTTTACTGGATTGGATTTACTTAGTTCAGTATATGGATATACCATTGAGAATGAGATCTTAATTTTTAATAAACTTATACCGCACGTAATAAACTTCATTGCTCTACGTGTAGACGTATAGCAATGAAGTTTATTACGTGCAGTATGCGAAATTTTAAAATTGGTGATATTGTTGAAAATGAACTTAAAAAAAGTATATTTCTAACCGTTCATGCAACTAACATCCGCCGGCATGAATGTTGCTCCGGAGCACATAATGCCAATCATAGTTGGTATGAACTCCGATCTCTTCTCGCTGCAGACGCTCACCACGTCGCCCCTGCCGAGCCCCATGCCTGCTAGCGAGAGGGCGACGCCCGCCGCCACCTCTGCCACCTCCCCGTACGTCACCTGAGCTCCCGTGGCAGCGTCAAGCTGAAGTAGAAGTTTTAATGGATCGAACAACCTTGACAAGGCGTTTTTCTTTCTTAGAGCGACATTAATACGTGGTGCAAAATGTACCAAACAGAATATTCAGCTGAATTATCCGGCCGGAAATTCTTTTTGGTCCATAGAGTGACAATACAGTATGTTGTATAAGTATTCGATTCCGGGATTTGGGATCGAATACTCCTGGGACCGGGATCCCGGTCATATTTTTGTCCCGAAATTTTCGGGTTAAAATTTAATGAATCCCGGGATTTTCTGAAATGATACATTTTTATAAAAGTCAATAAAAATGTGCGTGGAACGATACGACGAATGAAACAAAACCTTGATTTGACATTTTGACAGCCATCTTGCTTACACAGCTGATTTCATTTGTTATTGGTTTGATTATATGTAAAAGTGAGTAAAAATTCCCGGCTCAAATTCACCTACCGTTGTCGAAAATATTTATACTTTTAGCCGCAAGGTTGTCTGGAAGAGATGACTTTTTAGCGATAAGACCGCCTTATTGTTTCTACCTCAAAAGTTTTTCTTTTTGTAACATTTCTTTTTATGGTGTTCAATAAAGTATACAAAAACTATATAACATAAACAAAAATATAACAACTTTAGGCGTACGGTGGTATATTTTTTTTTTTTACCGAAAACCGTCGTGGACGGTCTTGGTTCCGCTGTAGAGATGCCTATCCTAGAATAGCCGAAATATTTCATAAATTTTAAAATCTTCGAAAGATCATGTTATTACCCACTAAAACCCCCTCGGTGGCCACCTTCCATACGTTTGGAGGGATCCCGAGATCTCCTATGGAACGCACCGGTGTACCTCGGTACTGAGCGTGAACACGCCTCGGAGAAGGATAAACCTTCCCCGATTCCATCACGATCTTGCAGCAGCTCGAGACCATTTCGTACGCAGTCCGTGTCCCCTTTTAGTAGCCTTTTATGCCAGGCGGAGTATACCTTAGGCCTATTCTATGAGCCTCAAACTACACGGCTTTTTTTGTTACGGAATAAGGTGGCAAGCGGGCTGGCGGTTCACCTGATGTTAAGTGATAACCGCAGCCCATGTAAATTAGTACCGCAGCAGTCGCAGATGCGTAACCTCTTAATAAAATGGGCCCCGGCTACCTCACTCACCAGGCGAAACGCGAAAGTATAACACCTCCACTTCACGCCGGTCTTCTGTGAGGTCGTGGTACTAACCCGGACGGACCTGCCCATTCGTGCAACAGCTGAAGCTGTCGCGTGGCCCTACCACCTAGAAATCTATCGAAACGAATAGAAACGAATCTAACTAGATAATCTAACTACGCCTGGTGCCAACATTTTCGAGCTTCTTCCTGAAGCACTCACGGGAAGTAATATTTTTTTTTAAAGTACACTTATATTGTATGGTAATGTAAGTAATGCGTTTTATCGATATTTTTGTAAATTCCGTTTACAGTGCTTTTAATTGGTATGTTTTTTAATCTAATTTATTCATGCCTACGCTTGTTAGCGACGTTAACATGGAACATAAAATTTCATTAAAATATAAGATAAAAAAGAAAGAAAAAAATGAAACAGATAAGAAGACCTCGATAATAAGCCCGATTACCTAAATGCCAGACCACCCGCCGCCATTAGCTATAACTATGTAGGCGGCGTACTCAATGTGCAAGATATCTTGCCGCAAAAATTGGTTATACAAGCCATTTTCGAGGGTGCCGGCGCTAAATCATTTAGGAGCTGAAGACGTCGCCACGGCCGAAATCGGTCGGAATCATCATCATCACCGCCTAACGGAGCTCATTCTGAAAGGCTTCAATTACCTAAAATTCTCCCTCTCATTCGATGCAGTCTGGCACAACTGCTCGCACGTGACAAGTCTAAGCCTTCCTGTCGAATCTCTCCTTACATAATAGAATAGAGGGCACTCTCTCCACGAGCCGCCCTCTAACGGTGGGCGTTGCTCAAGGCTCTTGCCCCTTTCCTTTGTTACTTTCGTGCTTTATAATTGAAGTTCCAACAAATCCATAGTTCAATTTCGCGATTGATACAACCCTACTCAGATAAACACTGAATGAGTAGTGCTTCATGTTCCGGCTCCATAGTGTTGCTCTCCAACAAAATCGTTTGGAAATTTGTTCCGCAAATGGAGAATAGACGTAAACCACGTAAGAGTTTAGCACTAGACTCACTCGGGCTTGCCCCGTAACCAACTCCAAACTCCTAATGACCCGAGCTCACACTAGCAGGAAACTAGAAACTAGGGCATGCCACATACTACGGGTGTGGCGACGAGAAGACCAGCATAAAGTTGTAGAGTTATACGTGAATTAGCCGGGGCCCCTTTATCAAAAGGTCATCAACGCATCTGTAACCCTATGGGTGCTATAATCCTGGTTATCACTTAACATCAGGTAAAACGCCAGTTCGTTTGCCACCTTTTCACATAAAAAAAAACGACTTGACAGTTATGGAATGGCTAGTAAAATGCGCTTGAGGCACAAACTTTTGTAATGTAATACATGGGACCTGCATTCTTCTACGCCTGTTGGTACTTTATTCACATAACTCACAAACCTACTCAAACTAAAACTACGGTGGTAGGGCCACGCAGCAGCCTCGGCTTTTGCACGAATGGGCAGGCTTGTCCGGGTAAGTACCACCTCACAGAAGACTGGCGTAAAGTGTAAGTATACTTTAAGTAAGTATACTTACAGTATAGTCAAAGTATGCTTAAAGTATACTTACTTTAAGTAAGTATACTTTCGCGTTTCGTCTGGTGCGTGAGGTGGCCGGAGTCCAATTTTCAAAAGGTTGTCAACGCATATGGAACCCTCGGGTGTAGTAGATGTCCATGGGCGGCGGTATTTACTTAACATCAGATGAACCGTCTGCTCGCTTGGCACTTTTCACATTAAAAATACTTTAGCTAATTCAAATGACAGGTTAAATGTCACCCGCATAATTTTCTATCACCCTATCATCATGACCGACCCACCAGCAGTACCGTCTTTACTATAAGGGCACACGGAGCCCGTGCCCCGGGCCTCTGTCTACACGCGGGCCCCCCGCCAACATATTCGCTTTAAGTATAGAAATTTTTGTCTATTTTGGTATATATATTCCGACAGAAGTTTTTAGAATAAATAAAATACATAAGATAATAGTGGTAGTAATTGTTGATTGGTAATCTCAGATTATACATACTCTTTTGATGTCAACTGTGACCTGTTTGATTTATGTATTATCTATCTATCTATCTATCTGTCTAGCTATATGACATAACTCTTGTATTTTCTATAAATTCTATAATGATTACGTTTCGTCTAAAATAAGTTCAAAATGTTTAAGTTGAAATAAATAGTTTTCTAATCAGTCCTTAAGTGTCTTTTTGGCTTGAAAGTGATCCCATTAGCCACATCTGCCATACAAGAGGTTATGGTTATGTGGCTAATGGGATCATTTTCAAACCGAAAAGACACACTGATAAGAAAATTTAATGTAATGATTATGAAATTTATGTAAAATACAAGTTATGTTAGATAGCTAGACATGTTACTTCTCCAAGTGATTTTTACGGAATCAATCAAATATGACAATTCAGTCTGAACAAATGAAACTAACATTCCAAAATTAAAGTAATTCAAACATAATACATAAATCAAATAGGTCAGAGTTGATATCAAAAGAGTATGTATAATCTGAGATTACAAATCAACAGATAGATGTTTTAAAAGACATAATAGAAGAAGTAATAATTATAAAGCAAATAATGTGAGTATAGACGCTGTTTTAGATTCTGGTGCTACATCACATATGTTCAAAGATAGTTCACTTTTATACAATTTGAAATCTTAAAATCTAATCTTAATCTTGAAATACACCTATAGCTTGCGCTGATAATATGACGATTAATGCAGAAGCAATCGGTAGTTGTATTTCTGACACCTGTACTTTAGAAGGAGTGTTACATGTACCTAAGATTGCTAAAAATATTATTTCGGTTAGCAGCTTAACAGACAGAAATTTTAAAATAATTTTCTATAAAAATGTAGCAGTAGTAAAGAAAGAAGAGGAAAAAGTACTAGTAGCGCATAGGAACAATAATGGCCTCTATATTACAAAACTAAATGCAATTTTTCCAACTGTCTCGGCGTTGCTGATTGAAAGTGAAAATATTTGGCACAGACGGTTAGCTCATTTGAACAATGTTAGAGAAACAGCAAAGAACGTTGGAGGTTTAAACCTGTCTAGTTCCGACTTCGTATCAAAGTCCTGCGAAGTTTGTCATCAAGTTAAATTATGTAGGCTTCCTTTCAAAACTGTACGGCATTTAGCTAATAGACCACTAGAAATTATTCATACTGATATTTGTGGTCCAATTGACTGTCAGACATGGGATGGTAGGAGATATCTTGTTACGTTTCTCGATGATTTTACTCACTACGCAAGGGTCTATCTTTTACGAAATAAATCAGATACAATAGGTTGCATATTACATTTTATTCGTTGGGCTGAAAGACATTTTAATCAAAAAATTGAAAAACTACGGTGTGATAATGGAGGTGAATACTGCAGTAGCCAGCTAGTTGTGTCAGGATAGGGGTATAATGCTAGATTATACTGTGCCATATACTCCTCAGTTAAATGGTAAAGCTGAAAGACTAAATAGAACTCTAATGGAGAAAACAAGAGCTCTTATGTTTGATTCTAAGATGCCTAAATTTCTTTGGGGTGAAGCTCTATTTACAGCTGTGTACCTTCTTAATAGAGTATGTACGTCTACCAAAAATAAAACGCCTTTTGAGCCATGGCATGGTAGGAAACCGGACATATCTAATATAAAGTTTTATGGTTCTAAAGCATATTATAAATAAATAGACGTATAGGTAAATTGGATAAAAGTTGTGAGATGGGTTTGTTGGTCGGTTATGATGCTAATTCCTATAAAATTTGGAATCCACGCGTCAAGAAAACGTTCCATTCAAGGGATGTCGTTTTTGATGAAAATGTGAATGATTATGCGGAGATTTGTAAAAATTTTGGTGGTGTGGCTAATAATTATTTTTGTGCGGATTTGTTTAGTGATTTAAATATTGAAGAAGGAGATATTTTGGAAGAATTTTCTATTGATGAAGAAGAAACAACTGAAAAAGGAGGAATTCGAAAGGAAACAATTGACGGTGTTGAAAATGAAGAGAGTACAGAAACAGATGAAGTAGTTTGTGAAGAAACAATTGAAGATGTGAGGAATGTGGATTTTGTTGATGATCTAAATGAGGAAGTTATAGAGAATAGAGGAGATTTTGATGATTTTTTGGATGCAAGTGAAGATAGAATAGAGGAAGTTGTTCATGTTATTAGTGATGCTGAAGAAACAAATGAAGAGACGGAAGTTGTTGCGGAGAGTGTGGGTCCAAGGAGGAATCCACCGAGAAGTATAAAGATTATGTTATGGATTTTTTGGCCGAGTGTGCACTTTTAACGTTTGAGGCAGCAGTTAACTCCAGTGAAAAGGAGAAATGGTTGAAAGCTATAGAAGAAGAGAAATTTTCTTTAGAGAAGAATGGCACATGGGAGTTGGTTGATGAAAAAGAAGCTGAAGGGAGGAAACTTTTAACAAGCAAGTGGGTCTTTGCTAAGAAGTCGGATGGAAGATATAAAGCTAGATTAGTAGTCAGAGGTTATCAACAGAAATATAAAGTGGACTATGAGGAAACCTATAGTCCTGTGGTGAACAGTACTTCGCGGGGAAGATTTGTAGGTTGAAAAAGAGTCTTTACGGACTAAAACAAGCTCCTTTGATGTGGAATATAAGGTTTACCAGTGTTCTGAAGAAAGTGGGTTTCTTACAATTAAAATCCGATCATTGTATTTTCATTAAAGAATTGAATGGTGATGTTGTTTTTCTTGCTGTATATGTAGATGATGGTTTGCTCGCTGGTAACTCTTTTGAGGAACTGGATAAAATTCTAAAAGAACTTAATAGTGAATTTGAAATGTGTGTTTGTGATAGTGTCAGTAATTATATTGGTATAGATGTCAATATTACAGATAATGGGATTAAAATAGCTCAGGCTAGCTACATTAACAAATTAATTAATAAGTTAAATTTGCAAGATGAAAAGACAACTATTACGCCCTGTATATTTACTGATGAACTGTTATAAATGATGACTCTCTAATTGAGGAGTATAGGGAGGCAGTGGGTTCTTTACTGTATTTAGCTAATAAATCTCGTCCTGACATCGCTTTTCATGTGGGCTATTGTAGTAGAAACCAAAATAATCCAAATGAAAATGATAAATCTAATATTAAATCTATTCTAATATACGTAAAAGTGTATCTGGTTTGGGTATTGAGTATGTTAGAGAAGATAGTAATCTTGTGGCCTTCTGTGATGCAGACTTTGCAGGAGACTTAGATACTCGGAGAAGTACCACTGGGTACTTGATTTGTTTAGGAGGAGGTCCGATTGCATGGGCATCTAGAAAACAACCTATCGTTGCGCTCTCTAGTACTGAGGCCGAGTATATTGCTGCTGCTGATTGCTGTAAAGAATTTATTATATATACAAAATCTCTTGAAGGAATTGTTACACGTTGTACCTCAAACAATATCAGATGATGGTTAATCAATCTGCTATTGCTTTAATGAAGAACGGAGTTTTAAATTGGAGAAGTAAACATATTGATGTTCGTTACCACTTTCTGAAAGAAAAGCTTGATGAACGGTTATTTAAATTTGAATATTGTCCAACAGATAAACAGTTTGCTGATATACTAACGAAGAATCTAACCAACGTTAAATATTTGCAGCTTCGTAATCAAGTTTTATTGATGTGATGGTGTAGGTAGGAATGACTTAAGTGACTAGGTTTTTCTTTTTAAAGTGATTGGTGGTTTTGCCTTGTGATAGACGTTATAAAGACTTTTAGGTACTTTAATTCTAAACCTTTTTTTTTTAGTGTAAGTAGTATTAGTGTAAGGGGGTGTTAATAATAGAGATTCGCAGTGGAAGCGTGTGTGTTGTAAGGGGGAAAGGATTTAATGTTTTGTGTTAATCAATTAATTTTGTTAGGGGAGGAGATTTTTATTATTCTGCAGTTTTCTCTTGCTCCGTTTTGGACTTTTCATCTGACTGTTAGCGCAAAGTCAAATATATATTGAAAACGGAATTCAAATACGGAAATTTTCAGAGAAACTTTGCGAGAGATGAGAACAGAATTTTTGATATCTCCTCTTCCTTTATAGTGTATGTTTTTCTTGTATTTCTGTGTTTTAGTTATAATTAAGAGTTTTGGATTTTTTGTTGTGTTATTGTTTTTTTATGATGGTGGTTTGTTTGTTGATAATTTCTAATTTTTTTTGAGTTTTTTGTACTTGTCTGGTGTTATGATGTATATCTGAGATTAAGGGGGTGTGTTGATTGGTAATCTCAGATTATACATACTCTTTTGATGTCAACTGTGACCTGTTTGATTTATGTATTATGTTTGAATTACTTTAATTTTGGAATGTTAGTTTTATTTGTTCAGACTGAATTGTAATATTTGATTTTTTCCGTTAAAATCGTTTGGAGAAGTAACATGTCTAGCTATATGACATAACTCTTGTATTTTCTTTAAATTCCATAATGATTACGTTTCGTCTAAAATAAGTTCAAAATGTTAAAGTTGAAATAAATAGTTTTCTTATCAGTGTGTCTTTTCGGTTTGAAAATGATCCCATTAGCCACATCTACCATTCAAGGGTAATAATGTTTTTTCATTCACTTTTTTTACTTTACATCAGGGCCCCAAATTTGTGTGCCATATGGCCTAAGGCGGCATTGCCCAATAGGGTTCTCTAGGGAACACTAAACCCCAACTCAGTGCTTACAGATATTATCCTCAACAGGCACGATATAATTCTATGCCTCAAAGAAGAAATTCCGTACTTACCAAAGCTATTTCGTCCATGTACAGCTTACACTTCTCTAGCATATACTGTCCGAAATGCAGATGGTGGGGCAAATAGGCCACCTCAGCGCCGTACACGTAATTCTTCTTACGCAACATCCTGTGTCCCCAGTGCGATACTGAACCTCACCACCGAGGGAGACCTTTTTAAAACAAAGGAAAAAAGCCCAGATAACGACGGAATATTATATTTTTGGTAAGGCAAGTCGCACTTAAAAAAAATTTCGACAAAAACCGATACAAATGTATAAATAAGATAGTGGGGCATAATTATTTAACGCTCAAAACTGGTCCCAGATATGTATGCAAATGTTATATAAACAATTACGAAAATATTTGTTAATTATCCCCGGTGCCGCCACCAATGAAATTGTTAATTTTTAGTGCTAACTTGCTCCACGTGCTCTGCGGTGAAGGAAAACATCATGAGGAAACCTGCATATTTTCGAAATAATAACAATAAAAATATTTCGAAAATATGTGAGTTTGCCGAACCCCGATGAGACAGCGTGGTGGACTATGACCTGATACTCTCTATATAAAAGAGGTCTTTGCCCAGCAGTGGGACCTGTATACCTAATTACTTTACTTTACTCGAACAAAATCTTTCAGCTCCTACACCTGTTTCCTTCTCATTTGTGAATGTCCAAATATGGTGGATACAATGGACGACTGGATCGAAGCAGTGGCATTGTATGTTATTTGTTCTTTTAATTATTTCATAAAATTTATTATTTACTTTTCGACGTCCTAGCGTCTGAAAACCGCCAGGATGCCTTCGAACCTGAATTAAAATAGAAGAATAGCTCCTTAAGGGTAGCTCCTCGGAAGTAATTGGTGTATTAAGCTCTGACCACCGCCCGCCCGATTCGAATCTACAAGCTCCCCAAATTTGAGATAAAATTCCCGATGGAATAAGCACTCTAGACCGCCGTCACATCATACATGTAAATATAAATTATAAAAGAAAATATACAAAATATTATACGTATTTAAATTTCTACATGTGCAATTTTTTTTGGAACTTTTTGATTTGTTGAAGAAAAAAAAACATCAGTTTGGGTTAACTTCAGGGTCATATACGTCTCGCACTGATGGTTTAATAGGTAAAAAGGTATTAGTAATTTGTATTTTCATGGCTTAAAGGTCTGTATATTGTATTAACTGATGTTTTTGCTTTCAGTCCCGAGACTATTAAAGCTTCACCTGACGCAGAACCGGTGGGCTAACCAGAACCCACGGGTTTGGGCCCTCCGCTGTGGGTAGGGCCACGCATGTGCTCATGCGTGCGTTTAACTATGGTGTGTCACCTAAAAGCCATCGAGGTTGCGGTTCGGACCGAAACCCCGATGGCCGTCGACTGTGCAATTAGCTAAGCGGTGACTGGGATCGGTGAGAACCGCCCCGGAACGCGGGTGTACCTTGTGTACGCGTTGTGTTGGTCTCGCCGTACCCGGAGGCGAGGGGGATACTAGTGTGTTTGTTTTTGCACTAACTGTGGATGTAGTATTATGCGGCGGGACCCCCGGCGGTGGGTCCGACGTATCTAAGTCCCCTTCTTCGACTGGGTCGATGAGGACGTTTCGCGGGCGACCCTTGTTGACGTTCGCGTTTGTACTGGGTTGGTAATTAGCTGCGCTTACCACCAGAGGGTTGGAATGATGTTCGGCCCTATCGAAGAACCGTTTGGTCAGGTCTTTAAAATATTCGCGAATCGTCGGGAGTCTGCAATCGCTGTGCAGGTCGACGTTGCGTTGATACCACTGCGCACCGGTTGCGCGGCGGATGAACTTATTTTGTACTATTTGCCACTTGTACAAGCGAGTAGGGTGCGTGTGGGCGAAGGTCATGCATGCGTAGGACATAATAGATCATACGCAGGTCTTATATAATAATAATTTGTGCCTTAATGGCATTTTACTTTTAGCTTTAGTTAAATTGTGTAGCCGGCCGGAGACGAACGCGGCTCTATTGCGAAAGTTATTAATGTGCGTCGTAAATGACATACACGAGTCGAAAGTGGCTCTTAACTATTTGACCTTTTTCTCCCAGGGGAGCGGTTGGCCATAAAGGGATATTTGCCCCAACTTTCTGCATTGGCGAGGGCCATTATAAAGATGTGACGGGTAAGTAATTCGTGTGAAGTGAATCGCCACACTCTTTTCGGGATTTACTTCTATTCTCCATTTGCGGAACCAAAAGTATTATCGTGCAACAACACCAAACCGGAGAGGCATTAAAAAAATATATCGAAATTGACATGAATTCGATAGTCGAAAATAAATATCGGACAACGATATATCGGGAATAAAAATATCGATGATATCTATCGATATTTATTTGGAAAAATATCGATATTTTTTGCCCATGCCTAGTGTGAAATGCTTGTTCAAATCAAATGTCATTGTCACCGTATCAATGTTTTTATTACACATACTAATATTATTTGTCTTAGTTTTATTTAATGAGTAGAAAAATAGGTTTAAATGTATATTTGATCGATATTAACTAAATATGGAGGTCGAGGAGGATAACTCGGGCATTCTGGTTGAAACTCTACCGTTGCTCGGCGTTTGTAACCTTTGCTTGAGCGATGGTGTTGTTAAAAGTATGTTAATCAAACAGGAGCACGACGGGATCGCAGAAACTTACATCGAAATGCTTCTGAAGTGTTTCTCCATAGATGTGAGTACAATGCTAAGTGCCGTTAATATGTAAAACGACAGAACTAAAAGGGCGTTTAAAACTTTCGCAGTCCGAAAATTGTTTGGATCACCGTTTTAATTCAATAATATTTTAGTTTTGTCTATATCTAACACAGATTATTATGTGTTTATGTATATGTTTTATTTTCATTGTCATACTATTGTAGCACACGTATAAAAATAAATGTATTTTCTATTCATTTATTACTGATCATGGGATAAATCAAATAATGTTTATAATTGCGGTAATTTGCCACAATTTTGTGTACAACTAAAACTTTGAAGGCTAGAATCCAATTAATTAATTACTAACAATTTATTCTACAGGAGAATCTGTTAAAATTATTAGTTTGAGGCCAGATTCCTAATCTTATAACAGACAAGATTGGCTTGTCAATCTTGCTATGTATATGTGTTCAAGTATTACTGATTGTGCATAAATTATATTATTAGTATATATACTAATAAAGGTAATACCTATCACTATTGTTAGTAACAGTAACATTATTATAGTGGTAAGAATGGAACAATGAAAATTGTTCCTTTCGTACCACTATAAAATACAGCGTGTCTTTACAATCATATGAATGGCTTGAATGAATTTAAAAGAGACAAAACATACTGTTAGAAGGAGAGACTTGTAATGATTATTGGCAAGTAACGTTAAACATGTGTTCATTTATTGTCGCGATGGTAACAACATGCTGTATAATTATAGGCAGTGTGGATTTTGGTGCGCAATATATTTATCATTTACATCTGATCTCTCCACCAGTTTTTATACTAAACTAGGTTGTACTTACCTATATGCATTAACTTTTAATGGGATGTTGTGGATTGAAAGGATATAGTTAAAAATAATATTTTTATACCAAGCTTAAACATATGTTTTAATTTGTAACTATTTCAGTATCTTATCCTTTAAACGAGCAATTCTTGTATATATATATATAATCGGAATCTCGGAAACGGCACCAGCGATTTCATGAAATTTAGTATGTGCGTAGATTCGGGGGCGAAACATCGATCTAGCTAGGTTTCATTTTTAGAAAATGTCCTTTTATCCCTGTTTTCAGGGAATGAAAAATATCATTCGAATATGACGGTAAATTTTGACAAAAAAAAATTTCACGATCATTTACACACTCTTTTTTTACTTTTTTTTTTGGATTCCAGATCATTGCTTTCTTTATTTATATTTTTTGTTGATCCAGATGATTTTGTTATTTTTTTCCCTTTTTTTTTAAAGTTGTTTCTTTTGTGAAAAACACCACTTCATATTTTCTTATTATTAGGTCGGTAAGATCGAAAAATATTATGCATATTTCATAACTCAGTAATTTGTATCTAAATGTAATTTCCAAAATACACGATTTCCAAAAAAAAAAACAAACCAAGCAAAGCTCGGTCCTCCAAGTACTTATATAAATTTTTTGTTCCAACACTTATTGAATAAAATAATTAAATAATACCCATCAAGCTATTGAAATCTTTTATTTGGGCACAAACAAATTAAAACAATGATGCTCTGTCAATTTTTTTGTATAAACAATAGCATACTTTGAATAATCTTAATTATGTAAGTTTCTTATTACTTATATAATGTTCAGTATCTTTACTAACTAACGTTAAGATAACTAAGGCAGTACAACATATTGGTTACAATAGGTGCTTACTGTGGACCTTGAGGATACGAAAAGGCTTATATGCAACAGATGCATCAGCAAGCTTAATGACTCGATTCAGTTTAGACAGATGGTGGCTGTCTCCTTAAAAACCTTGGAGGAAACGGTAAAGCAACAAGGTATGTTGTTTAACACATAGGGTACTTTACACTTATGCTAAATGTAACTTGACATCTTCCCAACCGCAAAATGGAGAAAGATAAGTTTTTAATTATCAAGCAGTTTTACAAAAAAAGAATAAGTAAATCTTTTATGGGACAATTTATACCTTTCTACAACAAATTACCAGAAAATGTTCAAAATGCATCAATGTCTAAATTTAAAAAAGTAGTAAAAGAATGCTATGTTAAATTTTAAAGGCTATTATAATATTAATAATTATATAAATGATAACACACTCTGGTAATGAATTGATCGCTCCAGGATCTTTTTCAGATTTCTTATATTTTCTCATTATGTCAAAATTATTCTTTCTAATTATGTCAAAATGTTTATAAAATAAACAGCCTGCAGTCAAACAAAGTCACAAAAAAAGTCTTCAGTGGCTTTCTTTTGGTATTATTTTGACTATCAATAAACAAGTTTAAAAGTCGTATATTGAATAAAGATATTTGATTTTGAAAAAAAAAACAAAATTTGCCACCTACTCACATAAAAAATTGGTCTTACATACACTTATTACCACAAATGTTATAGCGGAAAACAAATACCTGTGGTAACAAATATACATCATCCATTGAGGTAAATGTGACATGACACTTTTTTATTTACTTAAAAACCATATTCCATTACAGAGCAAAAACGATTGGCACTCAAGAATGTGAAGAAGGAATTAGCCATAGAGGACCTACTACTAATTGATTGTGATGACTCTGATAATAATCATGTGGGTGAGTTATTTAGGTTTTCATTTATTTATTCCAGGTTTTCGAACGCGCATAGTGGCTCAGAGGCCCGGTACTTATTTCTAATTCACACTCAAATAGCCAGCATTCAAAGCTAAATATATAATAAAACTAGCTGCTGCCCGCAACTATGTTTGCATGGAATAGGATGGTGGTGTAACATTCAGAGAGAAGATATACATACATAAAAATATGTATTATGTTATAGCCTATGTTTTATTCTGATGTATAAGCAATGGTATTGTTAAGTTTTATTAAAATCCATTCAAGTTCCATCCATACATACAAACTTTCGCGTTTATAATATTAGTAAAGTTCAATGTACTCAAAAAGATTGATATCCAAGTAGCAGTGATATTATATATTCAACTGTGGTAGGGCCACGCAACAGTGTTCACTGTTGCACGAATGGGCAGGTCCGGGTTAGTACGTGACCTTACAAAAGGCCGGCGTAAAGTTGAAGTGTTATACTTCGTTGGTGTGTGGTGAGTGAGGTAGCCGGGGCCCACTTTATTTAAAGGGGGCAATGCATTTGCAACCCTACGGGTGTTTCTGTAGGTGCCACTGTCTCACATAAAAAAAAATCTAGTTCTAATTTTATAAATTGTGTACAAATGACACAGTAAAATCTATCATTTAAACCTGAGAATAAGTAGGCCTGCAAAGAATATACATTCTATTGCGAAAATATGTTAAGCATTGTGTCCCATTTGCGTCCCTCATATGGTGACCCACCCCTTATATTCCCAGTTACAGATGAGGAAGGTCCTTTGAGAGACGTGAAGGAGGAAGTGGCCGTTGCAGACCTGATGTGGCGTGATCGCCATGTTGCAGATAAACCCGCCGGTGAGCGACTTAATAGTTCTAAGTCAAAATTCCTTCGTCCAATATAGGCTTTGCGCTTTTATTTAATGTCAAATAAACTACCTCCGGTTCACTAAACTAGAAAACCTGTCCAAAGAGGAGCCGGCAAGAAACTGGTCTTATTGTTAGCTGTATCATGAAATAATTTAGGAGGAACTATGAAATAAGCATTGAGTAATTCCAGTTTAACTTAAACTACACAGATTAAAAACAATAGATGTAGAAGCATAATAACGGAAGCGCATCAAAAGTATAATACTTCATAGAAGCTCATCAAAAGTATAGTCTTCTGTGAGGTATTTCCCGGTATGAACTGTCTATTCATCCACTACCCGAAGCTTCTAATTCATCTCAAAAATTTAACAATATAATTCACAATTTCGCATTAACTCCAAGTTTGTTGACATAGCAAGAATATGGGATAATGTTGTCTTATTTAAAAATAATTTGGGATAACACTTTTTTTTATAAATATTATCGCTTCGAATTTGGGCTCTGTTTCTCGACGTTTCGGACACTTTACAATGTCCATGTTACAACATTCAGTTTTGGATTTTCACGTTTATGTGTTCTAATAATAGAATTGATCACCTGACCAAGCGAAATACCTATTTCTATAGATTACTCTATGTTTAATGGACAGCAGGAAAACAAATTATATAGGCATTTAGGCAATTCTATTTATGTTTCTTTTATTCATCTCCAAATTGCTCTAGTTTCTATTATTTAGAACATGACCAGTTCTTTATATTCTTTATTATTTAAATTATTCTTCACAGATAGAATAGAGGTGGCTGAAGCCTGTGACATTAAGCAGGAGTTTCGCGATGTAGAAGATGTTGCGGGTAAGCTTTGCTTAAATGTTGAGAATAGCAGTCTTCATAACAGCGTTCACTTTGAATGTTTTTACATCTGAGAGCTCATAACAGTTGATAGATATGATTTCCTTTAACACACATGGCTGTTTCTGTTTGTGGTATCCAAACCTAAAGCGGCCAGAAACATTTATCTAGTGCGGCGTCGTTTTCGAAATGAAATGGAGCAATATTTCTTTTTATGTTGAAACTTATCAAGTGAGCAGTTCTCACCCCCACCCAAGATATCTGGCAACATCCGAGGGTTTGTAAATGAGTTGATAAACTTAAAAAGAGAAACTAAAACAGGCGAAAGTATAATACTTTCACTTCACGCCGCTCTTTTGTCAGGTCGCGGTACTTCCCCGGACGAGCGTGCCCATTCGTGCAACACAAAAAGCCGCTGTGTGCCCCGTGGTAGGGGTTTGGAAGCTTACGTTTTAGTACGAGAAGGTGACAAGCGAACAGGTTCTTTTGCCACCGATGAACTCATCGCTCTCAATGCACTGCCCAAAGGCCATGGGGGCCACGAGAGCCAGTGCTAACATGCAGCAAGCCCCCAGCGAGGGACCTGGCTGGGGGCTTGCTGCATGTTAGGTTGGGGAGAACGGCATATTGCAATGCTGTTCGCACCGCGGCCTCACCACTGCTGCATCAGTGTGGCACTTCGGAGTTACGGTGGACCGGGAGACTGGCCAAACGCGCCAACACTCCTCCCCCCCCCGACGACTCCAACTCGATTGCAGGGACAGAGTGGGTTCCTCTTGGCTCGATCGCGGGGCCAAGCCAAGGAATCCATTCGAAGAGTTACGTCACTCTATGGACGAAACGTTAAGGAATGATTGGACACACTGTAGGCACATCCACAGATGAACCCGCCCAATCAACCAACAGTAACAGCCGCTGTGGAACCGTACTATTCTGCTACGGCAAATCTTCAGAATATTATCGCTTGCTTCTTCATGCTTTCTCTTTTATCAGAAACGCCGTTTAACGGTTCGAATGTTTTAGATTTAAAAAAAACCGTCACCTTTCAGACGTAGCTGACGAGCTCCTAAATGGCGAGGACCTGGAGGACTACCAGCCAAAGAGGACGCGTAGAAAAACGCCGGCAGGCAACAAGAAGAGAGTCACGTACTCGGTGAAGAAGAAGACGGACACGTCCGAGACGGAGAGGATGCTGCAAGCCGGTCTGTTCCCATTCAAGATGTACAAGGACAGGACGTACTCGTGCGTGATATGCCCCGAGAGATCTGGCAGCTTGGACGAGATAAAGGCCCACGTGGGCGTGCACAGCGTGCCCCACCTGCACCACGCGTTCAAAAAGCTCACCGGCTCGAAGCTACAGCGCTTCGCGAAGGCGTCCGACAAACTCCGCTGCAAGCTCTGCAAGACGGACCTCGGCGACTACGAGCAGCTGCTGAAACACCTGGACTGCTGCTCCCGCCTGGCCAACCGCTGGAGCGGGCTCCCGTTCAAGCTGGAGAAGGGGCAGCTCGACTGCCCCGTGTGCGGGCGCAGCTTCCTCAACTTCGTGAACCTGAACACCCACATGAACGTCCACTACCCGAACCACGTGTGCGACAGCTGCGGCAAGAGCTTCGCGAGCCAGGCCCGCCTCAGGGGCCACATGAGGACCCACGAGCTGGGCGCGTTCCCCTGCCGCTACTGCGGCGCCGTCTTCGACAGGGTGACGAAGCGCGAGAACCACGTGTCCAAGGAGCACAAGGCGGGCTTCCGCTACGCCTGCAAGAGATGCAACATATCGCTCTCCTCGTTCTACACGCGCCAGAAGCACCTAGCGGAGGTGCACAACGAGGAGCTGAAGCGCTACAAGTGCAACGCGTGCACGCAGAGCTACATAACCCCTGGCCACCTCTCCAGCCACGTGAGGCGCGACCACCTCAACGAGAGGAACCACCGCTGCGACAAGTGCGACCTCGCGTTCTACACCCGCAACGCCCTGAAGATGCACATGATCAGGCACGACGGCGAGCGGATCCACTCGTGCCACGTCTGCCACAAGTCCTACCAGCGGCTGAAGACGTTGCGCGAGCACCTGCGCATACACAACAACGACAAGCGGTTCGTGTGCCCAGTGTGCGGGCGAGCGTTCACCCAGAAGTGCACCCTCAAAGGGCATCTGAAGGTACACGATCGACGCCCCGACGGCGAGGCGGACTGCCCCCGCTCGGTGGTGATATGCCGCTTCGAGCCGACCAAGGAATAGAGCTGGCCCCGAGTATTAGTACTGGAGAGATCTTCGCACGTCGCCTAGGAAGATTATGCGGGATAGCTCATGGTCCGGACGCTCGCCTTTAATTCCGTACACTCGAGCGACCTGAGTTGGATCCCCGGTGCGGGCATCAATGAAATTGTTAATTTTAAGTGCTGAATTATCACATGCTCAGCAGTGAAGGTCTCTAGGTCTAGAAAGAATCTTGAGGAAACCTGCATGTTTTCGAAATAATAACAAAAAAAATAATTTCAAGATATGTGAAGTCCGCCAATCCGCAGTGGGGCCGCGTGGTGCACTATGCCCTGATGCCCTTAGTACAGAGAAGGCCTTTACCCAGCAGTGGGATATATATAGGCTTTACTTTGAAGTCCAAATTTAAGTGGCAAAGGTTTTTGACATTATATAGTGTCTCTTAAGTCAAATGTAACTCTTCCATCCATTCTTTCTTAACGGACACACGTTCAGGATATAGACTCACCAAGTCTGAGCTATTAACAGCTTTTTTTGTAACATAGCTGTGTAATATTTAGTGATAATCTAACAGTGGTTAGATTAAACTGGATCAGCGTTGAGCTAAGGAATCAATTTACGTAAAGATATTTTATTTATATGAAACTATGGAATCCATAGAGAAGATTTATCTATGGCGATTAGATTAGACTCGGTGGTGTAGATGCTTCGGCGTCGAGAAGCGTGGGTTCGATTCCCACACGGGACGAGTATTTTACGGATCTGAGTATTTGTTCCCAAGGAGGGTTGACGTCAGGCAGCGATAGGAAACTTATCCAGTACATGTGAATCATTTTCTTAGTCGTATTGTTGTCTTTATCCAAAGATAGAATTCGCTATAGTTGTCTTTATCCAAAGATAGTCGTATAATGACTGTTGGATGAGCGCGTCAATGCTAATTTTTGCCCGTTAAATATTACAAAATCGGATGAAGGAATAATTTTTGTGTAACTCGCAAGAGGTTGACTCTCAAAGGTATTAGCTGATGTATGGACCATTTTAAAACTCCCGCCTCGATAGCAATGCCTGTAGTAACAGACGAGTTTCCCAAACAGTGGGTGACGTGCTGGCACGACCCCGATCTAGATAGAAGACCAAGTTGATATTCTTTAAGACGAGTCTTTCTTGTCGCGAATAGACCAATTTCTGCTGACTTAACCTCACGCTCCTTAAGAATGGAGTGTTTAGGTGTGCTCCAGAGAAGTGCGCGAAGGTACTTCGAAAGAGTGTTATAAATGACCAGTTGATAAAGATCATGTTAACAAGTTATGGATAAATGTAATTAAGGAAATTACGGTGCGATATAAATTGTGCAATAAAGAAGCAGCGATGAGTGCTTGATTTTTTTAAGGATATTCCACAATGACTGGCGGCTCGGTTATGTTTTGTTTACTTTTCGCATTCATTTCACAAGAGTGTGTACGTACCCTAAGATTATGTAACCAGGATCGAAGGGTACTTCCCTGTGGTCCGTTTAGCATTTAACGCAGAAATTCAGTGAACATTCCACTAAATAGACAAGACTCAAAACTTCTCTAGTAATATGTTTGATAAGTGCCTTTTACGACCCCCCCCCCCCCCCCCGTCCTCTGACCTCTCACTCCCCTTCGTAATGTAATTTATCGCATATTAGATAAAACTGATTTACTTCGATTATATCGCGTTTGATTTGGCTATATTTTGGCCAAAATTTTCATACACTCAACAGTTTTATTTGACGGTATGTAGTATTTGCTTAGACATTCATTATGCAGCCCTGACTTAATAAAATAAATATAAATTACAAACATTTTATTTCTTGTTACTTAGACGAAAACTTAATGGCACTTCGCTGTGTTGTCTTATATAATAACGTGGCAATGATTATTTCTAATTATATGTTACACATAAGTAAAGTTGTTTTATTAAAGATACAATGCAGATATGTATATTCTCAGGTATACAGCGTGTCGTTACCATCGCGACAATAAATGAACACACATAAAGGGGATAACTTTTTAAAGTTGTATTAAACATTTAAATTCTTTAAACATCAATATTTACAGAGTTATTAAATTTTCCAAAACCAAAAATTTTAGAACACCCTTACCTATAAAAGCGTAACGTGAAGTTCAATTGTAAAGGTCACAAAGCACATGAATGGCTTGAATGAATTTAAAAGAGACAAAACATACTGTTAGAAGGAGAGGCTTGTAATGCGACGCTGTGGCGCGAGTTGTATAGGATGTTACAAGTGTTGTTTCTTTTTTACTTAATTAGTTTGTTTGAAAAAAATTTTTTTTTAATTATGGATTTTGTTTAACGTTAATATTTTTTTATGATTATTGGCAAGTAGCGTTAGACGTGTGTTCATTTATTGTCGCGATGGTAAAGACACGCTGTATAGTGCAAAATTATAGACTACGTAATTTTCATCCAATGCAAGATACAATAAATTATTCCTAATGTTCCAAAATACAAATTTTACCTTTGTATACAAATTTTACCTTTTGTATACAAATTTTTCAATGGCAAATTGTTTGATTAAAATAAAAATTTTAATTATATTTGTCCAAGTCTAAATGAAATATCTGTTAATTAATTCCCAAATGGGAAGTCGTTAGTTTGTTTTATACATCTGAATGTGGCAATTTCGATAATATAAATTCTGCCAATATTCAATATGTCACTTTAATAAAAATGCCGTCGTACTTACTACTTAGTACAACTTATGAAGGCACGACTTTATAAGATATACTAAGCACGACTCTAACGTTAACAAAATTCATTGGATCTCATACAATGTTCGTAATGCAATGTAACTTACATTTATTAGTATATTTCAATTATGATCTTGTTAATGATTAGAACGATCAATTCAAAGAGGTCGGTATGGCAATCAGCCGTTTAGCTTGGCGGTTAAAGCGTCTGGTCGTGAATCCGGAAGACAAGCTCCATATCCGGCGTGAAGTCGGAAGTGTCATAATTCTGCGTTTCGCCTGGTGAGTGAGATAGGCGGTGCCCACTTCATTGTAAGGTGGCAACGCACCAGCAATTCTACGGATGTTGCAAATGCCCATGGTCGGCGGTTGTCACTTAACGTCAGATGAACCGCCAGCTCGCTTGCCACCTTCTCACTTTAAAAAAAAAACATTAGAAACCTGCCAAGTGCGAGTCGGACACGCACGAAGTGTTCCGTACCATTATCTATAAAAACGGCAAAAAAATTAAGTCTGTTTGGGTATGCCCCACTTAAATATTTTTAATCTGTTTTTTAGTATTTGGTAATATAGCGACAATGAAGAAAAGAAATACATCTGTGAAAATTTCAACTGTCTACCTCTCACGGTTCATGAGATACAGCCATGACGGACAGACAGCGGAGTCTTAGTACTAGAGTCCCGTACTTTGGCTAACGAAACCCTTAAAAATGTTCAAATTGTTTTATCCTTAATTTTGTTGTTATAATGCCCATGAGCTAAATCTAAGATATAAGGTACACATTTTATTACTTAAAAAAATAAAAATGCCATATATATAATTATATCAATAATTCATGTTTCATTTTATTTATAAACTTAATAAATTAGAACTATCTTATTATACAACTTGGATAAATGCTTACAAAAGTAAGCGAGCTAACCAACATACACAATTCAACATGTACTTAATAACAACATGTCTTGTACAAAGGTCATGAATCACCAAAACTTTTTCTACATTCATTATCTAGTATGAAGTCCGCAGTTGGACATTAGTTTCTACAATCTGGCTGTAACCTAGCGCCACTTGTAGTTTGCACATAGTGAGAACTATATTCTAGTAAGCTTGTACTGTATGTAACTATGTATGGTATTATATAAGCATGGATGACTGTAGTATAATTTCATAATCACCATCATTGTATTTGTGTATTATATGTGAAATTAAATGCAGCATAAAAATCCATGTCCCTATAAAATGTGAAACTGGCAACAAAATACATGCTGTATTCATTAAAATCATTGACTAAATAACTAATTTATCTTATTTTGAGAATTATTTTTAAAATCGGCATGTATTGTATGTAATAGTGATTTTGAGACCGACCTTTTTCATGAGGATTTATAGGCGCGCATTGGGATGGATGACACAAGCAATCCATCACCGCAAATAGAATTGAGACTTGAGCAAAATAATAATAATAGAAAACGGCCACAATTCAATAATTTTACAATGATACATAATATACAAAAAACACTCATTCTTGTATGCCTCAGCGGTGAGCAAGGAATAGATTCTACTTTTTACAACCCTCATAACACTGTCTCTTCTACCTCATCCATATGTGTGCACATAATTCTGATGTTATGAGTATTTTTATTCATCCCCTTAGCGTCTTGGTCAGTGTACATTCATCTAAGGTGTTCCTACTAAAAGTCCAGCACAAGTGCAGCAAAGTTATATACTAGCAAAGTCTTTCTTCATGCATTCTCTTGACTTATTCCCTATATCATTCCATCAAAGCGTTTTATAATCTCATGTTACACAGTTTATAATCTCACCATTTCTTTGCCAATCAACAATACTAAATACAAATGTATCAAACATTCACACACATAAACTATGGCTAACTCAGACTAAATTTCACTTAGCTATATATACATAGTGTCCGTGTGATGGTATGGTGTAAGTTGAGTACACCCTAAACCTTAGTGTCTGGGTGACTTTAGTCACTGCCAACTAGTGTGATGCTAGAAGTAACAGCCGCTTTGGTATATATGTGATGTTAGGCTTGTTAATGTCCATATTATGTAAGTTTCACCACAATCTAATGAGAGTTAAGATGTAGCAGCCTGCTAAGCGTCCACAAGACGTTTGTTAAGTTCACCACAAACTAGTGCGACATAAGATATGGCAGTCTCCTTAGTGTCCGTGTGATCTTAGGTTGGGTGCACACCCGTATGCTAGAAGTAGCAGCCTTCGACATCGCAATCCGGGTGGTGGCTCTTCACGTGGGTCTTCAGGCTGGCGTTCTGTATGAACGCCTGGCCGCATATGTGGCACCGGTAGCGTCTGTCGTTCGTGTGCGTCCGTATGTGGTACTGCAGCGACTTGAGCCTGGGGTAGCTCTTCTCGCAGTACTCGCAGCGGAAGTTCCTCTCGCCGGTGTGCGTCGCCATGTGCTCCTTCAGCCTCGAGGGCAGGTAGAACCGCTGGTCGCAGTACTCGCACTGGTGTTTGAGCACCTTCTGGTGGTTGCGCCTCTGGTGCTCCGTTAAAGTCTTCTGGCGGTTGTACACCTTGTCGCACAGGTTGCACGGGTACGTGCGCCGCTGGCCGTGCGCCTCGGTGAGGTGCTTGTTCTTCAGGGCGTACGACATGAAGCACTCGTCGCAGCGGGGGCATCGGATTATCGCCTTCTTCCTGTGCACAATGTCCACGTGCATGTCCTTGTAGTGGTTGGACTTGAACACTTTGCCGCACACCTCGCAGGTGTGCCTCTCGTCGTCCTTGTGCCGTTTCAGGTGGGCGTCGAGGCGCGGCTTCTCCAAGAAACAGACACCGCACACGTCGCAAGTGTAGTTGCTGAAGTGCTCGACCATGTGCGCGTTCAGCGTGTTGAAGTCCTCGAACACGCCGCCGCACATCACGCAGACTAGGTCGTTCCACGTCAGGCGGTAGAGCAGCATCTTGTCGGGCGCCTCGAAGTAGATCTTCTTGCCGTGGACCTGGTCTATGTGGTGCTTGAACGCGCTCAGGTCGTCTATCTTCGCGGCGCAGAGGCGGCAGTCTATTCGGGTTATGTCGATCTTGGGCATCTTCTTGTAGCCCATCAGGAGCTGGAACGGTTTCGTGTCGTGGGTGGCGGTGTGCTCCCTGAGATCCTCTGGCTTCGGGTAGTAGTCCTTGCAGTAGAAGCAGTAGTAGTTGTTCCTCCTATTTTTGAATGGGCACACATAGGAGTACTGTATTATTGTAAGCAGGTTCTCCTCGGACATGCAGTCGAGGTCTCTGTCGTGGGTGTTCCTCTTCTCAGGTGGCGGTTTCTTGCCCACCTTAGGCAGGGACTTGGAGACTGAAGATCCTGGAAATTAATAATATTACAATCATAAACAAAACGCAGCCATTCTCTTATGCCACAGAGGTGAGCAAGGAATAGCTTAAATTTTGTATATATGCTTGGCGAATCCAGTGTTATATCTTTTACAGCATGCAAACAATTTCTAGTATCCTTTTACAACGATAATTCGAACGAGAGATGTCGCCATTACTATTAGAATTTTTTTAAAAGTGCTCAGCACTTAAATTCCCTTTTAAGTTTGAAACAAATTATAAATGCTCTCACCAGCCTTCTGTTTACTCTTTCTGAGTCCCTTGGGCGACTTCTTCTTCTGCGCACCGTTCGCTTTCTCCATTTTCCGCTTACGCGTGCTTTTAGGTTTCCTGATGATTGGCTTGTCGGAGTCCGAAGAAGAGAGGGAGTAGTCACTGTCATCATCCATAGGCCCTGACTCCTCTAGAGTGGGCGTGGGAGCCGTCGGTTCGTCTTCTCTTTTCGGTTTCACATCTGCAAAGAAGTAGGAATACCAAAATCAGATATATCAACATAGGTTATCATAGAAGTCACATGTAACGGGTGAGGTAGCAGGAGTCACTCTAAATGTAGATACGTACGACCCGATTGGCGTAGTGAGTCATGAATCTACCTCCTGCGCCAGAGAGGTTCGATCCCCACTACCGGAAATACATTCCCTCTTGCTCATTTGCCACCTTTTTCATTAAAAAAAAAGTTTGTGTCTGTTTCCAACATGAATGTTATACAAGTCAGATGGTCACCACTTGGAGCTACTGTCCTTACCTTCTAAGTCGTCCGCCGAGTACTCCCCTGCTATGACGTCATCGATTGTGAGGCGATCACTGCCATCATCATCTCTCGGTTCAGCCTTTAGCTCCATGGGGGGCAGCTCCACATCCTTCTTCTGGTCTGCCAGATCTATGAATTTACAATTATAATTAATTACAAACAATAAGGGAGAAGAAAGGTTGCAGAGAAAAGATGATAGGCCACCTAATGACCAGGATAAGCTATGTATCATAAATTAAGAAGAAGATAAATGTTAAGTAGTAGTAGTAAGAAAGGCAGAGGGATTTACACGACTAAACTGACATGGATGCTGCACCGGCACAAGAAATTCTCTTAAATTAAATAAGAGAAGATGATTAAATTATGACACTAACAAATTCCATCAAAAAGTTCTGGTTATAAACTGGAAATGGATGGCGAAACCTTCTCATACCGACCTCTGGCATAATGTTGATGAAACTAAAATTGCAATTTAGGTGGTACCACTCATGATGGGCAGGCTCATCCGGGTAAGTACCACAACCTCATAGAAGACTGGCGTAAAGTGGAAGTATAATACTTTCGCGTTTCGTCTGGTGAGTGAGGTGGCCGGAGCCCAATTTTCAAAAGCTTGTCACGCATCTGGAACCCTCGGGTGTAGTAGATGTCCGTGGGCGGCGGTACTTAACATCAGGTGAACCATCTGCTTGTTTGGCAACTTTTCACATTAAAATAAATAATAATTTTCTATATTCATTTTTATTCACTGTAGGATGACTTGGTGGCACATTTGATAAGCTTTTGGCTTCGGCCTTTGTGGGCTTAAGCACATATAGTGTGTTTGCATGTAACATTATCAGCGCGAATGAGCTTTAAAAATCAATACAAAGGTCAATTATGACAACACAATCTGTATCCGGACAACACAATTTTTACATTGCAAAATCTTTGAACTGCCATATGGACAAGAATACAATGATAGATACAGCTTATACCATTAATCATGTTAAAAAAACAATAAATAGAACATGTATGCAGGGCTAATACCATCTTTATCTTCAAGCTTTGAGTGCAGGAACAGCTCTTCACACTGTAGCACCTGCTGTCTGAAGGCACAAGCATCCCGTAATCTAACCACACATGTTGCACATACACCAGAATCCTTCATATCTTCATCCACATGTGACAACTGGAAATGTTGAATAAACAAGTTCAGAAAAATACAAAAATATTTAATTAACTAATGTCAGTTCTGATGGCACAATATTTGAAAGAATTGAAATAACATTTATAATGGACTAGTTGTGCCCGTGACTTCTGCATGGAATTTTTAATTAAAAAAAATCTAAAATAAAAGTAGCCTTTGTTACTCCTTATTACATCAGCTATCTGTCAGTGAAGAATGTCCAAATTAGTCCAGCCATTTCATAGATTAGCCCGAACAGACAGACAAAAATTGTAAAAAAGTTATTTTGGTATGTATACATCTATATGCATTTAGTAAAAAAGCATTTATTTGTATAGATGTTGGCCTATACTTTCTGAATGCATAAGATTACTTTTATACATTTTGAGAAAATTATACCCCGAAAACTAATTGAGTTTATATTTTATAAATACAAGTTTACACTTTTTTAATTTATTTAGAGTAATAAAAAAAGCACCAGTGAAACAAAGATAATGTTTTATGGTGAATTGGCAATCATAAAATAGAAATTATTTATTTTTCAATCATAAAATATTATTTATTTTTCTATTTGTATAGTTATACAAATCTGTTCACTATAACATAGCCAATTTAAGTTAATAAGAAATAAACAATTTTTTTCAGTTTTTCCAACTGGGATGGTCATCAAATAAAAGGCACATCAGTGAAAAGTGGATGGCATTAGGAACTATATCAAGGTTGTACTTGTTTGGGTTGAGACATTCTATTCCACGAGTTTTGGTTTTTTTTTAATGTGAAAAGTTGCCAAACAAGCAGACCGTTCACTTGATGGTAAGTGAATACCGCCGCCCATGGACATATGATATACCCTAGGGTTACAGATGCGTAGACAACCTTTTGAAAATTGGGCTCCGGCTACCTCACTCACTAGACGAAACGCGAATGTATTTGTCATACTTCCACTTTAAGCTGGTCTTCTGTGAGGTCGTGGTACTTACCCGCACGGGCCTGCACATTCGTGCAACAGTCGAGGCTGCTGCTAGGCCCTACCACCGTATGGTTCAAATGTATGAGCGTTATTCGATTTTACGAAAGGGTATATCCTTCGATGATTAAATAATTGCAATTTCGATGGTAATTGTGTCGCATTATAGACTAGAATGTTTACGTAATTCGCAAATTACATTTTAATTACTCACTAGAATACCGAAGCAATCCATAACCATATCAGCATACACCTCTTTCTTCTCCATCCAAGTATACTCGGCAGTCAATATTCTACATTTTTTTATGGCTCGACAACATCGACAAAGCGCTGGGTCTATTATAGGGCCATTGTTTTTCACCGTAGTCATTGTGATTCCGAAGTACTCTGTCGGTTTTCATTCACCATTTGATTCTATTTCTGCATTGTTTTCATATAATATCAATAGTTGATCAAAACAATATTAAAGGACAACAGCGCCCATCAACTAGCAAATCAGTCAACAATCCAATCCAGTCCAGTTACAATTTTTAAAACAACCCAAAGCCAAACAAATGTCAACGTCAATTGACACAAAAGTCGATAATCGGTACCGGTACAATTGCAGCAAACAATTATTAAGTACTAGTGTTTCACCCGCGGCTTCGCTCGCGTTGAAGCCCGTAAATAAATAATATATATATATATATATATATATTCCAATTAAAAAATAGCCTATGTCCTTTCTCAGGCTCTAACCTATCTGTGTACCAAAAATCATTTGAATCGGTTCAGTAGTTTTTTGCGTGAAAGCGAGACAGACAGAGTTATTTTCTCATTTATAATATTAGTATGGATTAATTTTGATAAATTATTTAAGTACAAAAAAAACAATAGGTAGTAAACTCATCAGAACAATGATAACACCACGTTGACGATGTTCACTCCACTGCATTCCCCAAATACGTACAATTCGACTAAGAACTAAAATAGTGGTTATATTAATTTTTAAGATTTTTAAGATTTATACGATGATCTCGAACTATTGAAAACTTACGAAACTTTGTTTACGAGAAAAAAAAATTCTCTGGAATGAAGGCGATTAATGTCTACAAAACACGGTGTCCATTCAATAGGGAACTAGCACACTGGAATATTTTGTGTATGCTGCAAATTGGGGACCTCTCGTTCACCGGCAAACACGCTGTACCTGTTGTATATTTATAAGTGAATACGGTGTGCGCGGAGCCAAACGCGGTGATGTCGGTTGTTTACGCGTTCAGGCCCTGTATCACTGCTTATTTGCGACAATACGTTGTCGGAAGCCGGTAGGTATTTAAATTGCTTATCCTGAAAGTTAACCCTCGGTTAGAGGATTCAAAGGGTTGTTGTCTAATTGTTCTAGTATGGAACAAAAAACGTCTTGTAAAATTATTCAGCCAAACTATTCCGTGGGTAAACAAAGCCTAATCTAGGTATTACGCTATAGGTAAAGTAAAGTAAAGTAACAGCCTATACATGTCCCACTGCTGGGCAAAGGCCTTCTCTATACAGAGGGTATCAGGGCATAGTCCACCACGCGGCCCCACTGCAGATTGGCGGACTTCACATATCTTCGAAATATATTTTTTTTGTTATTATTTCGAAAATATGCAGGTTTCCTCACGATGTTTTCCTTCACCGCGGAGCACGTGATAAGTCAGCACTTAAAGTTAAAAAACTTCATTGGTGCCGACAACGGGGATCGAACTCAAGTTGCTCGAGTATATTGAATTAAAGGCGAGCGCCCGGACACTGAGCTATCACGGCTCTACGCTATAGATAAAAAAACCTTTTTTGTAACGTGTAGTTTGCTAACGGGCTGACGACCCGTGCACTCAGGAGAAAAACGTAGCTGGTGCACGACGATGACTAAAAGACGCCATCCACTCCATTACACTCTGCAACAACCTGCTAACGAAAGATGGACAATCGACTAACAGGTGGATGGGGGAGGGGTTCACGAAATGAACCAAGGGCCCCTCAGATAGATGTTTGAACCCGAGGTTGGATTCCCTTGGATTGCAATCGATATTAGCTAAAAAAAATTGACATTGAACACGTTAGCAATGTATCTAAGTTTATATTGTCTCACCTGGTGAGACCCATCATACTAGCGTCTATTAAAATAACATTCACACGCAAAATTTATTTGTATACATCTCATAATGACACACACGAGTGCCTATCTTGTGTCTTATCCCGCCAAAGACTTGAATTAGAATTCGTAAATTAATAAGTGTTTTTTTTTTATTTTAAGCTATCGATACAACGTAGATAAGTCTCATGGTTAAATTGCAAATTCGACTGTATCACTTCCCCATGATGCCGGAATAGCTTAGTGTCCGGGCGCTCGCCTTTAATTTAATTTACTCGAGCAACCTGAGTTCGATCCCCGATGCCAGCATCAATGAAATTGTTTATTTTAAGTGCTGACTTATCACGTGCTCGGCGGTGAAGGAAAAAATCGTGCAACCTGCATATTTTCGAAATAATAAAAAAATATTTCGAAAATATGTGAAGTCCGCCAATACGCAGTGGGGCCGCGTAGTAGAGTATGCTCTAAAAACCTCTGTACAGAGGAGGTCTCTGCCGTGGGACATTTATAGGCTTTACTTTACTTTTTTTTTTACTTCCCCATGGATAGGTTCCACTATCGATGGGAATCGGACCTTAGACATATTATTCCTCTCCTCTCATGTTTGTAGATTTTCCATCTCTCGTGCGCAGTAGCGCGTCGCGTGAAGTGGTGGCGTAGATGCCGAAGAGCAGGAGGCATTATCACACTAGGTTCTAGTGATGAGTTATACTTGCTAAATTGCGCACCAGGTCTTAAAAGTACGTCTACCTTCTCATACCAGGTACAGAAACCAGGTATCAAAATACTTTCAACGTATTTTCTGTGCAGCGCAACGGGTCGAATACTTGTTTCATTGCAAGATTAAACCTTGTTCCTATACAAATAAGATTCTAAATATTCCAATCAAGACGTAAAATACTTTGAAAGTATTTTATTTCACGTTTGAGCACAATCTGAACCTTATATGCATAGACATAAGTTATCTAATCAAGTGAGAGAGACACAGACTAGGCGAGACCGATATACATTGCTTCGCAATCGCACGGCGCACGTTCGATTCGTTCGACGTTCGAGTTCGATCGACGTAGTAATACTTATTTTGAAGAGCTCGTATACTTTAATGGAAAAATACTTTCAAATTTTGCAAGTATATCGGGTCGGTGCCTGGTTGGTATACTTGCAAACTTGAAATATCTGCTAAACTGGTGCGTATTTAACGCACCATCTCTACTAGATTCTAAGTTCTCTCCTGAACCTATTATAAATTTTTACTTTTATATATCTGAAACTAAACAAAGTGAAAAAAATAAAATATAGAAAAAAATCCCATAATAGTTTTTGCCTAAAGGCCATAATGCCAATTACCAAGAGCAAGTGTAAAAATTAAAACATGGCGGGCCCATTGAAGTAATTTTGACGTCTGTGTAACTGTGTATACAATTACGTTATGACTTATGATTTAAATTGTAATTTGTATTTATATAGAGGCAAATAACTTAAATTAAAATAACTATATCATAACTATGGAGCCTTTACATGACGATGCCGTCCTTTTCGTCGGAAGATGTAAATGCTGTCTTAATGAAGGTGATTTAAAAAACTTATGGGTGCCTTACAATTTCGAAGAAGAAATTGAAATATATGGAATAATGTTGTCGGAATGCTTTGCTCTATCAGTAAGTTTTATATAAATTCTGATACTTCTTTTATTGACAAGCAAATTCTTCTGCTACTCTATTTACTTTTAAATTTGCTATTACCAAAAATTTCTTTGGAAACGAAAACATAACCAACATACATTGAATAAAATATTTTATTTTTACACGCTTTCCTATCTTTATAGTTATATTGTACTGCAAACTTCTCATAAACAATCAATCATAGTACACTAATGCAAAAATCATTTATCATAATAATATGTAACACTTTTAAGATCACATTATTCTATTGGTACAGCTATCCATTGAAATCCGTTGAGTTGGGGTTGATATTTTTTTTACAGAAAGGTTACATTATTATAAGCACACATGCAAAGTTTCAACATGCGGAGACGCCCAGTTTTTGTGAAAAAAAATGTTGAAAATCAATAATTTTTGCAATATTCTCTCACCATTGTACGTTTCGAATGGTGTACTGTTATATTATTCCGATTTGTACATTTTCTTACACGACATCCTATAATACTACATTTAGTTTTTGTTGCAAATTGATTTTATTTAATGTCGAACACAAACTATATCACACAGTAACATTAAAAAACATTTTTTTTCCTTGTTTTTACTTTTTACTGACATTCCTTGTGTCTTGCCTTTAGTCTTCAAATAAAATAGGTTAGGTTCGACTTATGTCAAAGAAACAAATTGTTTGATCCCAACTGCATCTCAAATGAGTGTTTTTGGTTGTTATTGGTGCAAAGGGAGAGCTCCCTCCGGCTGCTGCAACAAGATAGAGGCTACTCTTCCCACAGTGCCAGAGATGTTACAGTCTCAAAATAGATACAAAAATCACTGAATCAATCCCCCTATTTTTTTCTAATGAAGGGGTTTCCCTCCCTTCCATAGGGGGGAACAAATCTTTCCCTCCAAAGGGCTCCCCTTGTTTTTTTACCCTTATTATTAATTTTTGTTGATTGGTAATCTCAGATTATACATACTCTTTTGATGTGAACTCTGACCTGTTTGGTTTATGTGTTACGTTTGAATTACTTTAAATTAAATTTGGAATGTTAGTTTTATTTGTTCAGACTGAATTGTGTCATGTTTAATAGATTCCGTTAAAATCGTTTGTAGAAGTAACATGTCTAGCTGTCTGACATAACTCTTGCATTTTATATAAATTTCATAATCATTACGTTTGGTCTAAAATAAGTTCAAAATGTTTAAGTTGAAATAAACAGTTTTCTTATCAGTCCTTAAGTGTATTTTTGGCTTGAAAGTGATCCCATTAGCCACATCCACCATTCAAGAGGTTATGGGCCCAGAAATATCTATATTTTTGGAGATTTTCCAGTTTTTGAGCAAAAGTGACAGATGCAAAGAAATTTTCAAAGATGGACAAGCCCATCAAACCATTGTTAGAAAAAGATACTACCATTCAAGACTGGAAACAAAAGAGGATTTTGAAAATATCTGCAGCGGATTTTGAAAATATTTTGAAAAATAACGAGCAGACTGCGACCACAAATGAAGATTTATTATCCATGAATAAAATGGAGGCATGGTGATGAAGAAGAAATAATTGAAAAAAGAAAGAATTCAAAAGGAAACAATTGAAAAAAAAAAAAACGATTGATGTTGTTGGGAACGAGAAGAGTGCAGAAACAAATGAAGTAGTTTGTGAGGAAACAGTTGAAGATGTGAGGAGTGTGAATTTTGTTCATAATCAGGATGAAGAAGTTGTAGAGAATAAAGGAGATTTTGATGGTTTTTTGGATGCGAGTGGAGATAGACAGGAGGAGGTTATTGCGGAGGGTTTGAGTCCAGGGAGGGATCCACCGAGAAATAGGTCTTTGTGAAGAGGAGACGGAGGTTGTTGCGGAGGGTGTGAGTCCAGGGAGGGATCCACCGAGAAATAGGTCTTTGTGAAGAGGAGACGGAGGTTGTTGCGGAGGGTGTGAGTCCAGGGAGGGATGCACCGAGAAATAGGTCTTTATGGACGGGAAGACGGAGGTTGTTGCGGAGTTTGTGGGTCTAGGGAGGTATCCACCGATAAATAGGTCTTTACCTGAGAGGTATAAGGATTGTTGTGGATTTTTTGGCTGTGTGCACTTTTACGTTTTGGGAGGCGGTTGGCTCCGGTGTGACGGAGCGATGGTTGATGGCTGTGGAGGAGGAGAGGTTTTTCTTTGGAGAGAAATGGCGCGTGGGAGTTGGTTGTTGAAAAAGAGGCTGAAGGGGAAGATTTGTGGCCTGAAAAAGTCTTTACGATCTAAAACAAGCTGCTTTAATGTGGCACATTGGTGTTAATGTCTTGATAGACGTTATTAAGAAATTTAAGTATTTTAATTCTAAACCTTTTAGTGTAGGTAGTGCTAATGTAAGGTGGTGTTAATAATAGAGATTCACGCAGTGGAAGCGTGTGTATGAGATTGTAGTAAGGGAAAGAATCGGAATTCAAAACGGAATTTTTCAGATAAACTTTTTACAAAATTTTTGATATCTCTTCCTTTATAATGTATTGTTTTTCTTGTATTTTTGTGGTTTTAGTTATTAAGTTTTGTGGTTTTTGTTGGAAGTGTGTTATTGTTGTTTTATGGTTTGTTTGTTGATTATGATGTATATTTGAGATTAAGGGGGTGTGTTGATTGGTAATCTCAGATTATACATACTCTTTTGATGTCAACTCTGACCTGTTTGGCTTGTGTTATGTTTGAATTACTTTAAATTAAATTTGGAATGTTAGTTTTATTTGTTCAGACTGAATTGTGTCATGTTTAATAGATTCCGTTAAAATCGTTTGTAGAAGTAACATGTCTAGCTGTCTGACATAACTCTTGTATTTTATATCATTACGTTTGGTCTAAAATAAGTTCAAAATGTTTAAGTTGAAATAAACAGTTTTCTTATCAGTCCTTAAGTGTATTTTTGGCTTGAAAGTGATCCCATTAGCCACATCCACCATTCAAGAATTTTAATCCATAAAATTAGAAAAAGTTTTCTCAGAATCAAAAATTAAAAGAAAAGGAGTGGGGGGCACAATCTTTCCTTTTCAGGGGTTAATACCACTCCCACCCTTCAATTTGATGGACGTCAATGGAAAGCCATTTTTAGTCAGCTTTATGGTAATAAAATATAACAATAAATATCTAACAATAAAGGTATAATTTTGAAGTATAACGGTAAATTTTCTGACTTATTTAAAAAAAATGTCTTTGAAGTTTTTTAATGGAAGAACAATTTGAATCCAATGATTCAACCACCATTTTAAAACTACCATAAATTAACAATTATGGTAGTTATGGCTTTCTGACAGAAAAATATCTTACAGAAATAATATATAGACATTGCTGACATGCTTTATATCAAACAATTTTCACTACAAATGAAAAAAATAAAAAAGAAATGTCCATTGGTGCTCATAATCATTTACTTTCAGCTAGTTTGCAATTTGTAAATATATAAACACTGTTTCAGTGGCAGCAGCCCGATGAACACATGAAGTACATGGAAATGATATGCACTGCTTGCATCAAACGGTTGCGAGATGCGTTCGCTTTTAGAAGAGAAGTGCTGGTGAGTGCGGAGGTGCTGCGAGAGCATCAGGAGGAAAGTAAGGCTCTTGTGTTTTGGGAGCCCTAGATTGGTTCCTATATAGGAGATTTACAGTACTAGGCCATAAGGCCATATTCTGTTTCTGTGAACATATTGACTGACTGATCTTTTAACACACAGGTAAATTTTTTAAAAACCTATAGTGTGATTTTAAAAAAGTTTTTAAAAAATTTACCAAACACAGAAACCTGGGGGAGTCAGTTCAGATGTTCAAAAATCCGTGTACTAATCTTACCTTTTCTAGCCCGATACTGTGGATTTCAATAGCTGCTTCAACTGCTAGAAGTCATTGCACAGACAATTATTTTCTCACATGGGCAACGAAAAACAATATCTTAATTATAATATTGAGTACAATTTGAAATAATATATTTACCTTTAATCATTATGATATTTTTATTGCTCCTATAAAATAATATAATTTATTCATAAACTAAATAAATTTATTTTTCTTTCATTGAAGTTTACATACATTTTCAATTGGTTGACATGCTGATAAGTATGATAAAAAAAAGATTGTAGCAAATGCTACAATTTAAAACATACTGCTGTTTTACAGCTTACTAGTGTAAAAAAATTACCTTTACCTTACTTTTAGTATAAATAAACCGCCAAAAAGGAAAGGAAAATGTATGGTTATAAATTACTGTAGAGAGTGTAAATAAAAACTCAAGTGATACTAATACACTTAATAATAATATCTATAAGTAACACTGAGTGTTACATATTATTGAATAAAACAATTTTAGAAATTTAATTTTATGAAAACTCAAGGTTTTTTTTTTTTGTGAAATTTAAAAACAGTTGATGAATAATATAATTATTATGCAACCATCTATTTGTTTCAGTGTATTTCTGCACCACAGTCAAAGTTGAGCAGCATCTAGAACAAGAAAAGGAGGTAGAGTTTGAGGATGTGGAATATTTAGAGATCTATGAAGGAACCAACAAAGAGGACTCGAAAGAAGAGGTCAATGGTGAGCATGTATATCTTGTGCTTTTTTAATATTCCTACAACTGAAGTACAGTTACAAGGCAACTTGTGATGTTGCATGAAAGGATGAAATCTACAAAACTCCTGCGTCTGTAATTTTGTATTTTACTATCAAAGTCAAAATTTATTTATTCATTACACGCTTGATTTAAGCTCTTATTAAACATCAAAAATAAGTATGATCAGTGCAAAACACACTCTTCACTTGCAAGCAAACTTGCAAGTGCAGAGCAAGGCTCATTTCCACAAATCCTTGAACAAATCATCCTGAAATTGGCAACTGCTCTGTCTTCCTTGTCATATTTTTGTCTAAAACTTAATAATAATTTTTGATGAGGTATAGTAAAGTATCAGCCTATACATGTCCCACTGCTGGGCAATGGCCTTCTTTGTGCAGAGGGTATCAGGACATAGTCCACCAAGCGGCCCCACTGCGGATTGGAGGACTGCACATATCTTCAAATTTTTTTTTTAAATTATTATTTCGAAAATATGCAGGTTTCCTCACGATGTTTTCCTTCACCGCTGAGCACGTTATAATTCAGCTCTTGAAATTACGATTTCATTGGTGCCGGCACCGGGGATCGAACTCAGGCTGCTCGAGTCTATCGAATTAAAGGAGAGCGCCCGGATACTGAGCTATCACGGCTCTGAATTGATGAAGCCATTAAACTAAAATTGTAATTGGAACAATAATTTAGTCAATATGCACCTTGTGCTCAAACTATAGCACTGAATTGATTTCTAAAGTATTATATGTATTCAAGCTTATCAATTTTGCCAAAATTTGAATATTCTATTTCTAGATAACTTGCAGATACCATGCAAAGAAGAAACTGGGAGTGTTAAAAGAAAGTGGCCAAAGAAACTGCCGAAAGAGGACAGGAACAAAACCTACAAACAGTACACAGCAAGGGAGCTGAAAATGGCTATTGATGCAGTACTGAGCAACAAACTTTCCCGTAAAAGTGCCTCCGAGTTGTACAGGGTGCCAAGGAAGACCCTCAATGCTAAATTGCATAGCAGCATTGCAAACAAGCAAGGTAAAAATATAATTTGATTTTAGGAGACTGATAGCTCATGTTTTTCTTTCACCTCTGAGCATGTAATAAATAAGCACTTAAAACTGTAATTTATAATTCCCCGGTGCCGCCACCGGAAATTGAACTCCAGTTGTTCAAGGACATTGAATTAAAAACAAGTGCCCGGACACTGAGCTCTCACAACTGTTTTGAATTTCTCCAATAATTAATTTCCTCAGCTGGTGGACTAGAGCATCCCCAATAGACTGCCACAAAGCACGATCCTGAGCCTGCATCCATATATTTCTAGCAGCCTTGCACAGGTCACTCCATCTAGTGAGGGGTCGTCCTAAACGACGATGGCTAGTACGAGATTGCTACTCGAGTACCTTTCTTCCCCTTTTAATATTTGATTTTAACAATGTCAGTTACCTGTCAACAACGTTTTTACTCGTAGAAGCCGACGATGAGGCAGTCAAACTGATGGAGCAGGATAAACACTACAAGCTGGTGGAGGAGATCAAAACAATCCTCACCTACACCAACGCTGTCCCCTACAAGACGAAGACCTCCCGGTACTACTGCGCATACTGCTCGACCGACGGGCCCTACTTCGAGGACCCCGACGACCTGCGAACGCACACCAGAACCCAACACCTGGACGAGCGCACCAAGAGCATCGACCAGATAATGCGACCGCAGTGGCTGAACGAGGTACTCAAGCTGGACATACAGAGCCTCCACTGCACCGTCTGCTGCATTATACTGCCGCAATGGAACGACATGTTCAGGCACCTGGAAACCGAGCACCAGATATTCTTGGACGAGGCGTACAACAAAGTCATACCTTACATCCTCCAGAGGGAGCTCTGCTGTGCACTATGCGGGGATTCGTTCCCCAACTATCACAGCTTGGACGGCCATATGAACGCGCACTACAGCAGCTACATCTGTTACGAGTGCGGGGATACCTTCTTGGCGGCCAGCCGTCTGAACAAGCACGTGGAAGTTCACAACGTCGGCAGGTACCCTTGCGACGGCTGCGGCAAGGTGTTCAAATTGAGGAAGTACATGAAGAAACACTACGACTTGGTCCACGGGTCCGAACAGAAAATCCGGTGCCTGTACTGCCCAGAGCGGTTCTTCGGCACGTTCCAGCGGCACCAGCACGTGCTGGACTCCCACCCTGAGCGCGTGAAGGTGATCGCCTGCGAGATATGCGGGAAAACCTTCGACTGGAAGCCGTATTACACTGCCCATATGAGGAGGATACACGGCACGGAGAAGAATTACAGGTGCAAGATATGCGACAAGACCTTCCTCATGAATTACGAGTTGAGGAACCATCAAATCAAGCATGTTAAAGAGAAGAATGTTGAATGTGAATTGTGCAGTGAACGGTTCAAGACAAAATCTGCCCTAATCCGTCACACCCGTCTGTATCACGACAGGGATTTGTCTGTGAGGATGAAAGAAATAGTTTCTGAAGCATAATTAAATTATCTTATAGTGTTTGAATATGTTTTTGGAAGCAGTCAATGAAGACATGGTTGTGTCCTCTACTGAAAGCCACATTGAAAAACTCAATATTAATGGAGTGGCTTTTACTGAATGGCACAATTTTATAAGATATACATCATGAATCATATATTATATCATCTATTCTAAAATACATCATTAAATCCGTACATGATCATGAAGTTTAAGTTTTGACATGTAACAAAAATTGATACTGAAAAAAATTGATAGACAAAGAAGCGAATTAGTAAAATAACAAATTAATCTTCGGTGGCCAATAACTCACTATATCCAAAAATGGACTATGGCCGGCAGAGAATGATCTCATTTCTTAATGCAAATGGACTATGATGCTACACCATGCAAAATACTTTATTCATGTATGATGAAATCTAATAGTGTGTCCACAAAACTGACGGACAATAAAATATAAGAAAAATAGTTTCAATGAAAAGGCAACTAGGCAAAAATTGTATGCATGTAAAAAACTAAATCGTATATCACCAACTGACCATGAATGTAAGATGCTCAGCGCTTTGAATAGTCTTCTGAGAAGATAAATAAAATATATTGTTACAAAGCTCAAGCATGTCTGTCCTGTTAACTGGAATGCTGTAGTTTGTGTTAAATTTACATCAATATAAGACCTACTGTCTTTAAATTTAACAATCTCTTGTATTGTCGTCAATAAAAGAACTGTTTGTGTATGTATGTGCATTTGGATCAAAATCCTAACAAAATAAATGTTGTTTGATGCACCTTTATGATTTGAACCTTACTTAGCAAAACTCCATTTTGCTATCTTTTCTACACAGTAACAGCTGATTAATTTTTATATCTATTAAAATTCTCAAAACATTGTTCTGTTGCAACATAATTTTTGTTTGCTTATTTTAACGTCTTTTTAATTTAAATTGCTGGATTCTAAAAGAAATATCATTACCAGCAGTATAGAAAGCATTGATCTTTCTTTATTTATTTTTAATTGATTCCTTTTCAAGTGATGTTTTTACTATCTTTAGAGGATTGTAAGACAAGGGTTAATATATTTAATTCCATTTAGTTTTCACTTGAATATGTGAATACTGTATTTTGTTAGAAACTGGACAAAAGAATATTTTACATTAACAACTGTATTTCCAATAACCATAAAAAAGTAACTCCTGACTGAAGTATCATGCAGATTATGAACAACACTATAAAACTCTGCTTTAAGTATTTTTAAACGGAACATTGTAATGTTAAATAAATTACAGTTTTACTGGTTGCTATGTTATTTATTTCATGACTCATGCTTGTAGCAGTTTTTACTTCATACAAATCCCTTAAGTGTAGATGGGTACATAATATGAAAGCTAATAATTTCAAATAACTTCAAAACAAGATCTCAGAAGTCAGCGAAAGCGCTTATACGTGCTCCCCGTATCCTTAATCATTGACAAAAATCCTTTTTTTTATTATTAGTATTATTCAAATACCGTAAGTAGTTAATTTTTCAACCAAAGTACCACCTACTAGGAGTACATAACTTTCGCAGTGGGGTTTGAAAGAGACACCATCAGTGGACACATGCATAAATTTCCAGCTTTGCCTCACAGACGTCACTCCAACTACGTAACGAACAATTTTTATAATCATCAATATGAAGCGCCCGAGTGTGAAATCGGAAGACTCAGATTCGAATCCCGCATGTCCCGAATCGCGTGAGTCCCGAATAATATCCATGTGATAATTTTATATCATCATTAGAAATATACATTTTTTATGGTGCTAATCTCGGCACTTAAGATGAAACATTGAAATTGGTGCCCATACAAATCCGTTGGTGAAAGCTTTCGGAATCTATCCCGCACCCCCTCGGACCGTGCATCCGAGACTACGCCGTCCACTAAACGTTATAGATGATCCAGACGACACACTCAGCGCGCGATTAATATATTTAATAATCAGCCGCCGCCCGAAAACGCAACGGCGCTATGTCTAAACGGCATAGCACGGTCAGAGGCGCTCAACGAGGAGCTACGTAGCCGCGTCGACATAACGCCTAACGAGGCGCCACCCGCCGCGATCCTCCCGCGCGCAGTCCGTCACATAACACACAATGCACTAACATACAGACATATGGCTCAGCGCAATCGACGGCGAATGCGAGGTCCCAGATTCTCGGCCTACACGCGATGTACTCGTGTGCCTGGTCGTTTTTGAATCATTACGTCGTGTTGTCATTGTCATTTATTGACGAGTGTATGGGCGCTCGTTATTGCTGCGTGATTAATTGTATAACCTTTATTTTTTAGACGATGTTTTCGTGAATGCATTGTTTTTATTAAAATTGTTAACACCGTTAACACATGTTAATAAAGATGAACAAATCTCGTAAACAAATTGCTCTCATGAATAATTGTTTGTATAATTATTCATCCATAAGCGATAGCGCGACGCCAATACGTCTCACAATTTCAACCAATTCGTTCCTCGGGATTAATCACAATTTCCATCCGACCCTTGGATCGTGTCGTAAGTCGATCCTCTTCGTGGGTAGGTCCCCATATCGATTGCGATCCAAGCCGAGGTTCGAACCTCCATCCGAGGGGCCCTTGGATCGTGTCGTGCCGTATTTTCCGCCGCTGTGGGAATTGAACCCACGTCCTCGGCTTCGCGCACTGACGTTCTGGCCACCAAGCTAAACGGCTGATTGCCACATTGACGAAATTCTCAACGTCATTATCTACACCGTTTTTTAACATTTGAAGCAATTTCGTTTGAGTGATCCCTTGGGAGAAGCAAAGCCCTCGTTTGGGATGCTACTATGTTTGTGGCCGACTCTCATCTAAAGGATACTTCGGTTAGCTTACAAAATTTTTTGCTGAAGTAAATGGCGCAAATATGAGTGTCTTTCTTTAGGTTATGTCTTTGTGCCATTTCCTGTTGAAACTTGGGGTCCGTGGGGACCCCGTACATCGAAATATTTGAGAGGTTTCCTAGGCTTAACGCCGCGGCTGACGACAAGAGCTGCCGACGGCTGGTTTTTTTTTAGGAAATGGAAATTATTAAATGAAATAATTTAATGTTGTAAATATTTGGATATAATAAAAACTCAAAATGTATTAATACTGTAATTGATAATAAATTCATCAAATATTTATTTTATTTATTTATTTAAAAATTTATTGTTTACACCCCACTTAAGGCTAAACAAAAGGTGAACTTAATGCTAATAATAATTTTCTTCCAGTCGACCCTGGGAGTAGAAACAATTTGATGCAGGTGCAAAACATGATACGGGAAATTAATTAAAAATAAATAATATTTAATATATAATAATTATAATTAATAATTTCATAACATCTGAGCCGCCCGTTCACTTGGAAAAAAAAAATGTGTGCGTGTACTAGCGTACACTCGTAAGTGAAACTTTTTTATGACGTTATTTTTCAAAAAATAATTTACTATATGCATACAAATTCGATAAAATTTAATAAAAGGCTTTTATTATCATAGACATAAATACAAATTCTACAATTATTTCATTTTAGCTTTGTATAATATTTAGTTTCTTATTTCTAATACATAGGTGGCGTTAGTAGTAAATTAAAACACACTAATCTTGTAATTAGTATGAGGGTCCGCAAAAATTGTTTATTAAAATCCAGTCAGATAACAGCTACCGATCGAGCCGAGGTCCGGCCCTCTCGGGCACCCTCGAATCGGAATGCTAAACGCGTGTTGAGGGGACCCTTGAGCCTGATCACTCCATGTAGCCCCCGCCAAAGCGCCCTAAGAGCTAGGCGGCCTCCCAAACCGGTGAATTAAATAGCGTGACGGCCCGAGCCGAGGTTCCTTCGGGAGCCCTCGAGCTTAGTTACCATAACGCGTAATAATAAATACGCGAGGTTCAGGCTAGGCGCCTCGAGCTTCCCGGCCACCTCAAGTCAGTCGGATCTGTAAAGGCCCCTAAGGCCAACAGTGACTCATCAAGCCCAAAAAAAAAAATTGATTAAAAAACTTGCAAGGTGAACCTTGTTTATTTCAATTAACCTCGCGGACCCAAAATACATCCGCTTTGAATTTGTACATGGTCCTTCGTTGCCGAATAGTCAGCCAGTGAGTAGAAGGCAGACATTCGACTCGGGCGCGAGTGTCACGGTGGGCGGTGCCTGCCTTCAGAAAGTCTACACTCGTCCAAAAAAAAAATGGTATATCCAGTATTAAATATATTTTCGATTTTCGATTTGAATATTTTGTATGTATAAATGGGATCAAAACATATCGGTTGAAAATATCGATATATAGAACAAAAATATAGATATATCGATATTTTTTCGACATCCCTACGCCGAAGTCAGTACTTTGAAAAATGACTGAGCCACAGTCATCGATCATCAGCCTGCTAGCTTGTCTCAAACTGTCACTGCATACTGTACTCCATATGGTGGGTCTTTATATGTCCCTTCAGGCTGCACTTCTGCACAAAAGCCTGCCCGCAGAGGGCGCAGGAGAACCGCCTGTCGTTGTTGTGTATCCGCATGTGCTCCTGGAAAGAAAAAAAATAAATTTCTTTACCAAAAAAAGTACACACATCAAATAAATTTAACAAGAATACTATAATAAAGTAAAACAAAACAAAATCAGTACAGAATTCAAATATAAAACTTTGGTGTGCAATACAACAGAAGAAAAATAAATTTTAAACGAAAATAATTGTACGCCCTATTATCGGTAAAGTGGGTGTTTATATATTTTTATGTATTTATTTAAAAAAGAAAATTATTTTTAAGGATGTCTATTGGTTATCTAGTACCCAAGGAAGCATTGCTTGGTTTGTGACTAGAGAAAGTTGTGTAAAAATGTGTCCTAAAATATTTATTTAATATTTATATCATAAAAAAATTAGGACAGCAGGTCTAAGTTATGCTGTGCCGGAAGTAAACCCCAACACAGCGCTGACATTGTCAAAACTCAGCCCAACACAGCGCTAATCTTCAGTGCTGACTGACCTTCAGGGTCTTCTTCCTGGCGTAGCACTTCTTGCAGACGGTGCACTCGAAGATCCTCTCGCCGTTGTGCTTCACCATGTGGACCCTCAGCTCGTTGTTGGTGAAGCACTTGTAGGGGCACAGCTGGCAGCCGTAGTCCCTCTCCTCCAAGTGGTCGCGCTTCAGATGTCTGGACAGGGTGTACCTGCATCACGGGTCCCTCCGTCTATCAGGCAATCCTTTATAGAGGATGGTGGTGTCTGCCAAGTATTTATATTATTATGGTTTATTTTAGTAGTATTTTGACTGGCAATAAGTGAGTGCAATGCTCCTAGGTTGAATGAAGAAGATGTTTGAATTTGGTTGTAAGAGATGTGGCAGGTATTAAATAAGCAGGTTTTTTGTATGGGAGAATGTGGTGAGCGAGCTGCCGATGCAACTGATCTGAGCCATAGTGTTTTTTTTTATTTTTTTATTTGAAAAGTTTCCAAACAAGCAGACGGTTCACCTGATGTTAAGTGAATACCGCCGCTCATGGACATCTGCTGCACCCGAGAGTTGCAGATGCGAAACGCGAAAGTATTTGTCATACTTCCACTTTACGCTGGTCTTCTGTGGGGTTGTGGTACTTACCCGGACGGACCTGCCCATTCGTGCAACGGCGAGGTCTGTTGCGTGCCCCACACA